ACGACCACCATCTCTAATTCCCCACATCTCCTGCTCCCCTGTCTGCGGCTCCCTTGTCTACTGCTCCCCTGGCTGCTGGTCCACTGTCTGCTGCTCCCCAATCTGCTCCTCCCCTATCTGCTGCTCCCCACTCTGCTACTACCTTATTTGCTGCTCCCCTGTCTGCTACTTCCCTATCTCCTGCCCCCACTCTGCTGCACTCGATCCATACTACTCTCGTCCTGCAGCTGCTCAGTCTCAAGGCGCTACCTGTCGCTGATCACCACAGACGGCAGCACAACTATCCCCCTCTCAACAACGGGCAGCGCCGTGGAAGATGAAGAGGAGGGTGGAGAAGGGGCAGGAAGAATGTGTGAGGATCGATAGGATTGAGTTCAGAAAAGATAAATGAATTGATTGATTCACCTAGATACAACACTAGGCTATATATAGTCTCGACACAAGGCTAGAAACCCAGGTGTTATGCGAATGTTCTGAGGGTCGCGAAGCGTCCCGAACAGAACCTTCCCGAATTCGGTAGAATGCAATTCGGTGACAACCGAAAGGCGTGGAATTCGGTACATGCAACCTGGTCCGGTGCTATAACTATAATAAAATATAGGAAAGCACCTAACATTGGAAATCAGCATAAACATGCATGATAAAATAAACATAAGCTAAAAAAGGCAGAGTAATGTCAAGGCAAGCAAGCAAAGCTAGCATAAGTCTAGCAAGGTCGTCGTGATCTCCCCCCCCCCCCCTCAAAGCTGGGTGGCGTGAGAAACACCCTGCTTGACAAGATAATCCTTGAGAGCACGGCGTGCGCTGCCCAGATTAGCTTCTGCAACCCAACTATCCTCCGATGGGTCATATCCCTTCCAACGTATCAGGAACTCGAGGGTCTTGCCGCCGCGGCACCGATGAGTGAGAACGCATTCCACCTCGTATTCTGGTTCATCTTGTACGAGAACAGGTGGTGGTGGCGGTAGCTGCCATCCCTGGAACTGTTGGTTGGGGTCCTTGTAGGGCTTCAGTAGCTGAACATGGAAAGCATTGTGAAGCTTCCACATATTAGATAAGCGCAAGCGGAATATAACTGGTGTCACCTGTGCCTCAACGAGAAAGAGACCATAGAAGCGAGGTCGGAGTTTGGTTGGTAGGTGAGACAGGTTCAAGTTGCGCGTGTCGAGAAGCACTTGATCTCCGACTGCTACTGAGTGATCTCGTCGCTGTCGATCAGCATACTGCTTCTGGGAGTTCTGCATCATGGTGAGACGTCGTTGAGTCTTCTCCCATAGCTGCTGCATGGTGGTGACAAAGTCGTGTGCGGCTTGGACGTGTGCTGGTGTGGTTGGCTGCTGTGGTGTGAGTGGTTCCCGTCCGTAGCACAGGAAGAAAGGAGATTTCCCTGTGGCCGCATGCGAAGCATTGTTATAAGCGAATTCAAGTGTCGGTAACTGTAAATCCCAGTGGCTGATGTCGTCTTTGCAAGCTGTGCGCAGTAACTGTTCAACCACCTGATTGAGTCGCTCCTTATGTCCGTCAGTCTGGGAGTGGTATGCTGAAGACATGGCAAGATTTGTCCCCAACAATCCCATGAGCTCCTTCCAGAACTTACTCGTGAACTTTGGGTCTCTGTCTGAGATGAGTGTAGCAGGGATGCCGTGGATGGTGATGATGCGGTCGAAGAAGAGGCGAGTAGTTGCTTCAGCTGTAGCCGTGGCGTTGGTCGAAATGAAGTGACCCATTTTGGAGAACTTATCGATTACTACGAGGATGGCTTCATGCCCTCGTATGGTCAAAGGAAGTCCCATGATGAAGTCGAGGCTAACGACTTGCCAAGGCTGATCCGGTACGGGTATAGGCTGAAGTAACCCTGCTTTTTTCTGCTTGCTACTCTTCATCCGTTGGCACGTGTTGCATGAGGTGACGAACTGCTGCACGTCTGCTGCCATCCGGGGCCAGTAGTAATACTTTGCTATCCCTGCTAACGGCTTGTTACTCCCGAAAGGTCCTGCGTACGCTACGTCGTGAAACTCCTCCAGTAAGATCTGTCGTAGCAGGGCATAGTTCGTTACCAAAATCTTTCTTGAACCCTTCCTTACAACTAACTCTTTCTCCCACTGTAACAACTTCTGTTTCTGTGCTGTAGCGATCTCTGCGTCCACGGAGTACCCATGATGAAATTGACCCTTGAGCAGAGGGTTCATCCCATCGAGCTGGATGCCTTCTACATAACCTTTATAGCTCAACGCGTCTGCTTTGTTGTGTAGCCCGGGCTTGTAGACAATGTCGTAGTGGAAGTGAGTCTCCAAGAAGTCCACCCACCACACATGTTGTCGTGAGAGCGTCGGCTGCGACTTGAGGTATTTGAGACTGCAGTGGTCAGTGTAGACTGTGACACCTCCATACCTTATCGTGGATTGGGTAATTCAGTTCTGCTCCGTGTAGCTTCTTACTAAGGTAGGCGATGGGCTGCAAACCGCGTCCGTGATCCTGCATCAGTACTACTCCGACTGCCTGGTCACTAGCGTCTGTCAAGTGTTATATCTTCTACAGTTTGTTTAGGCTGTAGTGGGGTAGTTACTATGGGGTACAGTAAGTTTAGGGTTTCCTACTTGTACCCAACTCTTTCCTAGTTCAATCACCCTTGTTCATTCTGACATGGTATCACGAGCCTAGGTTAGCCACCTAGGACCGCTTACTACTACGGGCCCACCATTCCGCTAGAAGCGCCCTCGTGCGCCCTACCTTACGTGCGCCCTCGTGCGCCCTACTCTGCTCGTGCGCCCTCGTGCGCCTTCTTTCTGCTCGTGCGCCCTCGCGCGCCCCGCCCTTCGTTCTGCCCGCGCGCCGTCCTCTGCTCGTGCGCGCGTGGCCCGCTAGCCACCTGCGCGCAGCCCGCTAGCCGCCCACGCAGTTTGTACTGGCCTCTCGCGGCCCCTCTAGCCGCCCGCGACCTGCCTGCACGTAGGCCGCCACCCGTAGGCTGCTTGCCGCCCCTACGCTGCCCGTAGGCCGCCCTTACGCAGCCCGTGGGGCGCCCGTACGTCGCCCGTAGGCCGCCGCCGCCCGTAGGCCGACGCTCGCGCGCAGGCTGTACCCCGCGCGCCGCGGCTGCTGCACTCCGGCGACCGCAGCCCGTCGGGACCCGCGCGTCGCCCCTACCTCCTCGCGACGCCCTTGCGGGCCCCGCGCGTCGCCCCCTGCCTCTTCGCGACGCCCTTGCGGACCCCGCGCGTCGCCCTCTGCCTCTTCGCGACGCCCCTGCGGGACCCGCGAGGCGCGGCTCCTGCGCGTCGTGCCGCCCCAGCGGGACCCGTGCGACGTCGCCCCTGCCCGCCGCGACGCCCTGCAGTACCCCGCGCCCGCCCTACCCGCCACGTCACCTCTACACCGCGCCTGGTCCCTGGAGCAGCCGTCTCTGCAGCAGCCGCCCCTGGCCCCTGGAGCAGCCGCCACTGCAGCAGCCGCCCCTGGCCCCTGGAGCAGCTGCCACTGCAGCAGCCGCCCCTGGCCCCTGGAGCAGCCGCCACTGCAGCAGCCGCCCCTGGCCCCTGGAACAGCCGCCCCTGGAGCAGGCGCCACTGCAGCAGCCGCCCCTAGCCCCGCCCTGCCGCTGTAGCGGCCCCGCAGTCGCCTCCGTCGTGCGCCTGCCCTTCCCACCACTGGTGAGCACGTCCCTACCCGTCCTGCTCCTACTGCTTCTATTGCTGCTCCTGGCGTGGCCAGATGCAGCCCCAGGGCCGTCCGCGTGTGCCCCTGACGCCCCAACAGCTTCGTGAGTGGTACGCTCGTTGGGGTTGTCGGGGTGGCAGTAGTGGGAGTCGTCCTGGAGTGCGTAGTCCGGGAGTTTCTTGTAGTGGCTCGGTGCCGCAGCAGCGTCGTCTGAGCGAGACTCGTTCGCCCCAGCAGCTTCGTGAGTGGTACGCTCAGAGTAGAGGGTCGCTGCGTACTGCTCGCTGCCTGTACGTTATTCGCACGGGTGTCCGGACTGGTCAGCCTTGCGGGACGCCTGGTCACACAGAGTCTCACTGCTTCGCCCGTCTGAGCGACGCCTGGCGTACAGAGTTTGGCGACGACGCTGAGCTCCCCGACTGGGTGGAGCTGCTTAGGCAGAGGGTAGATATCTTTGCTCTTGACTATGATGCTATTCTCACTGCCATGTATGCATTGTCTACTAGTGCCGAGGGAGCCTGTCACCTGTGTGGGCCGCCTGACCCCGGTATCCAGTCTGCTGCTCCAGGTGCTGGTGAGGCTGCTGCTCTAGGCGCTCGTGTGTTTGCTGCTTCAGGTGCTTGTGAGTCTGCGCTTTCAGGTACTCCGTCTACTACCGCACTGCACACCTTCACACTGGACTCAGGTGCTTCCCGCTGTTTCTTTCGCGACCGCACTGCCCTCGAGCAGCTTCCTAGACCGGTTGCTGTCTCCCTGGCTGACCCCTCAGGGGGTCCGGTCCTTGCGACCTCCACCACTGCCCTCCCTTGTCCTGCTGTCCCGTCTGGCACACTGTCGGGCCTCTACCTCCCCTCGTTCTCTACGAACTTGGTGGCGGGTTCCGCGCTCCAGGACGGGGGTGTTCACCAGTTCACCCCTGCCTACGAGCGTGTGACGCACTGCACGTGTGCCCAGACGGGTCGTCACCTGGCTACCTTCACTCGGCAGCCGGGGTCGGACTTGTACACACTGACCACTGAGTCCCCTCAGGTAGCTGCGTCTGCGTCTGCGTCCGGTCAGCTGTCGGCCCCCTGCTCGTGTCGCTCCCTGTCGCACAGGACTGTCCTCTGGCACCACCGCCTTGGTCACCCGTCAGTGCAGCGCCTTCGCGGCATGCACTCCAGGTACCTTGTCTCTGGTCTTCCCAGGGTTCTCCCTCCCCTACCACCCTCGCCTGCTCCTCCCTGTCTTCCCTGTGTCGAGGGGCGGCAGCGCGCTGCTCCTCACTCTTCCTCGTTCCCTCCCACAGAGGCTCCCCTGCAGACTCTCCACCTGGACGTGTGGGGCCCCGCCCGAGTCTGGGGATGTCGAGCCTTTGTCCGCGATACGTCCGCGGACAAGCTCTCCTCCCGTGCCGTTCCCTGTGTCTTCCTTGGCTTTGTCCCTGACGCGCCTGGCTGGCAGTTTTACCACCCCACCTCGCGCCGTGTCTTTGCCTCTCAGGACGTCACCTTTGACGAGTCGGTACCCTTTTACCGTCTCTTCCCCTACCGCACTGCCCCGCTTCCCCCCCCGCCGCTCTTCCTCACCCCAGGTGTCCCGTCGGTAGACCCCCTCCCTCCCCAGGGTGCTGCTCCCTCAGGTGTTTCCCAGGTAGACCCGGTCGAGCCTGTCGAGGTAGCTGTTGACTCTGGTCCTGCGCGAGGTGCTGAGCGTGCTGAGCCTGGTGGTGCTGGGTCTGGGGGTACTGAGCCTGGGGGTGCTGAGCCTGGGGGTGCGGAGACTGGGGGTGCTGAGCCTGGGGGTGCGGAGACTGCGGGTGCTGAGCCTGGGGGTGCTGCGACTGGGGGTGCTGAGCCTCGAGGAGCTGAGGCTGGGGGGTCTGCTGGAGTTGGGGCTGGTGGCCCTGCGGGTGCAGTGTTGCAGCCGGAGCCTCCCTCCCCTCAGCGGCTACGTGAGTGGTACGCTCGGCGCTGCAGCCTCCGGAGTGGAGCTCCTGGTGTTGAGGTACCGCCAGCTGGAGGCCCTGCTGCTACTGGAGGTCCTGGAGCTGCTGGAGGTGCTGCTGGTGCTGGTGCTGCTGGAGGTGCTGGAGCTGCTGGAGGTGCTGCTGGTGCTGGTGCTGCTGGAGGTGCTGGAGCTGCTGGAGGTGCTGCTGGTGCTGCAGGAGGCTCTAGAGCTGCTGGAGGTACTGCTGGTGCTGGTGCTGCTGGAGGTGCTGCTGGTGCTGGAGGTGCTGCTGCAGCTGCTGGAGGTCCTGGAGCTGCTGGAGGTGCTGCTCATGCTGCTGGAGGTCCTGGAGCTGCTGGAGGTGCTGGAGCTGCTGGAGGTGCTGCTGGTGCTGCTGGAGGCTCTGGAGCTGCTGGAGGTGCTGCTGGTGCTGCTGGAGGCTCTGGAGCTGCTGGAGGTGCTGCTGGTGCTGGTTCGGCAGGAGGTTCTGGTGCTGTCTCTGCTGCTTCTGGGGGCACTTCACGGCCGCGGCCGTACTTCGTTCCGCTCCTTCAGCAGGTTCTTGGTCAGTCGCCTCCTCCTAGTCCTCCTCCCTCCTTAGCTTGTCCTCCGCCTGTCCAGTCGCAATCGCACCTACCACCTGCCTCGCCACTTCGTGGTCCCTCTCCCTACACTGGTCCGACAGGCGGTCTTACAGAGCGTCGTGAGCCTGAGTCTCGTCCTGTGTCGCCTGTGTCTCGTCCAGTGTCACCTGTTCGTGCTGCTCGCACTGGTCGCCGTGTTCCGCGTGAGCGTCCTCCACCATTCCCTGGCACACACTATATGACTCTGCGTCCTTCCACTGCTCCACAGCGTGTCCCTCTACCGTCTCCTCCTGCGTCCTCTCTTCCTACTCTTTCTTGCTGACCCAGAGTCTGACTCTCTTCGTGCTGCCAGTCCTACTGTCACGCGTCTCCTGGCCACTGTTGTCACTGACCCTTCCTTTGAGACTGCTGCTGCGTCTGCCCTAGTTGCTGAGCTTGTCGACTTTGCTGCTCGCTGTCGTCTAGACTACGCCGAGATTCTTGTTGCTGAGTCTGAGTCTGTCTGTCCTCCGTCCGTCGGGGGTGAGTGTGCTCTAGGCACGGACGTCCTTGAGGACAGACAGGAGGACCTTGAGTGTCTTGCAGCCGCTGCGCCTCATCTCGTGTCCATGCTGCTTGCCTCTGAGGGAGACCCGGATGCTCCAGACATCCCTACCCCGCGCTCTTACGCTGAGGCGATCACGGGTCCCTACTCCTCTCAGTGGCAGACAGCCATGGATGCAGAGATGGCATCCTGGAAGTCCACTGGCACCTACGTCGACGAGGTTCCCCCTCCTGGGGCGAACATCGTCAGTGGCATGTGGATTTTCAAGGTGAAGCGGCCGCCAGGTTCTCCGCCTGTCTTCAAGGCTCGTTACGTTGCTCGAGGCTTCAGTCAGCGAGAGGGAGTAGAGTTTTTTCAGACCTTCTCCCCCACCCCGAAGATGACCACTCTTCGAGTGCTGCTGCACGTTGCTGCTCAGCGTGACTACGAGCTTCACTCTCTTGACTTCAGCACAGCTTTCTTGCAGGGCACCCTGCACGAGGAGATCTGGCTGCGCCGCCCTCCTGGCTTCACTGGGTCGTTTCCTCCTGGTACCCAGTGGAGCCTCCGCCGGCCGGTCTACGGTCTCCGCCAGGCGCCACGTGAGTGGCACGACACACTGAGGACTACTCTTGCGGCACTTGGGTTCGCGCCTTCTACTGCTGACCCGTCGCTGTTTCTGCGCACCGACACTTCGCTGCCGCCGTTCTACATCCTCGTGTACGTTGACGACTTGGTCTTTGCCACTGCTGACACTGAGGCTCTCGCCCACGTGAATTCGGAGCTGCAGAAGAGACACACGTGCACAGACCTGGGTGAACTGCGCAGCTACCTTGGCTTGCAGATCACCCGGGACAGAGCACGGCGCACCATCACACTGACTCAGTCACACATGGTGCAGCAGGTCCTTCAGCGCTTCGGCTTCACCTGGTCCTCAGCACAGGCCACTCCTCTGGCTACAGGTCACTCGCTCTCAGCTCTGCCTTCGGATGAGTCCGTAGAGCCGAGTGGTCCTTACCCAGAGCTAGTTGGCTGCCTCATGTACTTGATGACTTGCACTCGTCCTGACCTAGCGTACCCTCTTGGCCTTCTGGCCCGCTACGTGGCTCCTGGCAGGCACCGAAAGGTGCACTGGGATGCTGCAAAGAGGGTATTGCGCTACTTGTGCAGTACATCGGGCATGGGGCTCGTGCTTGGAGGAGGGAGCCCAGTTGTTCTCACTGGGCACTCAGACGCTTCTTGGGTTGACGACCAGGCTACTCAGCGGTCGTCACAGGGTTACACCTTCAGCCTCGGCTCTGGCTCAGTTTCGTGGCGTTCTACACGCTCGTCTTCAGTTCTCAGCTCCAGTTGTGAGGCTGAGATCTACGCCACAGCCATGGCTGCACAGGAGTTACGCTGGCTCACCTACCTGCTGACCGACCTTGGAGAGCGGCCTCGTTCTCCTCCAGTGCTGTACGTCGACAACAAGGCTGCCATTGCCTTGTGTGAGGAGCATAGACTGGAGCACAGAACGAAGCACATCGCTCTACGTTACTTTCTGGCTCGAGAGTTGCAGCAGCGTGGTCAGCTTCGTCTGCGTTACGTGGCCACTCAGGCCAACACTGCTGATATATTCACCAAGGCGCTTCAGTCTGGTGATCATCAGCGTTTCTGCACTTTGCTAGGGCTTGTGCCCACTTTTCCTCACTTGTTGTAGACACTGCCTGTACTGTGATCTATTTATATATATATACCTGCATGCTTGCTTTGCTAGGTATAGATCACTGTACTACTTGTGTTGCATATATGCCTCTGCATGTGAACTGGCCTAGTGGCCCTTTGCTTGTGCTCAGAGTGTGTGGTGACGTTGTGATCCACCCTGAGCTTGCTCTGCTTCTCATGACTGGTCGTGTGACCCCTTGTTCTCCCCCACTTTGCCTATGGGGGTGTGTCAAGTGTTATATCTGCTACAGTTTGTTTAGGCTGTAGTGGGGTAGTTACTATGGGGTACAGTAAGTTTAGGGTTTCCTACTTGTACCCAACTCTTTCCTAGTTCAATCACCCTTGTTGATTCTGACAGCGTCTGCTTCCACCACGTAGTCCTTGTCTGGATCTAGTAGGACGTGTACTAACGCTGTAGCCAGTGTTGTCTGTAGCTGCTCCATGGCATATTGTTGAGGAGTATCCCATTTATAGGGCGTATCCTTTTTTAATAAGTTCGTTTCTGGCGCTGCTATCTTAGCGTGCTGTGGCGTTCACGAACATGTTGTAGTAGTTAGCGAAGCCTAGGAACTGCTGTAACTCCTTCACATTCTCCAGTACTTTCTACGTCTTGACGACTTCGATTTTCCGCGGGTCCACGTGTACGCCCTCAGCACTCACCATGTGCCCGAGAAACTGCACCTTCTTCAGGGCGAAGTCGCTCTTTGACAGCTTCACGTAGAACTTATTTTTCCGCAGGATCTCGAAGACTTTCCGCAGATGCTCCACGTGCTCCTTCATATTCTTGGAGTAGATGAGAATGTCGTCCAGGTACACCACCACGCATTCGTCCAGCAGGGGCCGTAGGATGTGATTCATCTCCGCCTGGAACGTCGCTGGTGCGTTGCAGAGTCCGAACGGCATCACTAAGTATTCGTAGGAGCCGTATCTGGTACGGAACGCCGTCTTGTGGATCGAATTGTCCGCCATCTTGATCTGCCAGTAACCCGACCGTAGGTCCAGCTTCGAAAAGACTACTGCACCACGCAATCGGTCTAAAAGATCGTCAATGCGCGGTATGGGGTGTTTGATTTTGACTGTCTGTTTGTTCAGTGCGTGGTGATCAATGCACATCCGTAAACTACCATCTGGCTCGAGAGTGAATAGAATTGGTGCACCGTAGGGAGAGGTGGATGGGCGGATCAGTTGTTTGTCTAGTAGGTGCTCTATCTATTTCTTCATGTCTGTCAATTCGGTCGGACTAAGGCAGTATGGTGCTCGTGAGATGGGTTTCGCACCTTGTTTCGTGATACTCTCGTTCACCGTCCGTTTGAACCGTGCCAATGTCGTTTCTGGAAAGTCTCCTGTATCCGTCCAGCTTCTCAGCTCCACACGTTTTCCTTTATTGTAGATGCACGCTTTCCGATTCACCCAGTCGATCTCAGGGTTGAACCGCTTCAAGAAATTTCGCCACAAGATGAAATCTAAAGCCTTGATGTTTGTGATCAGCAACGTCGGCTTCCACCTCAACGCACCTATATGCAGCTGCAGTGATGTTTCGCCGTGGATATGAAGCTTTGTACCGTCCACCATTGTTGCTGAAAACCGGGTCTCCTCCGCCTTCTCTCCAATTTTCTCCAACGTCCCGCGGTCACACACCGAGTGAGACGCGCCACTGTCCACCAGTGCTTGGAGGCATCGCCCTTTGCAGAGAACCACGAGCAGGAGTGGTTGTTGCTGCTCCGAGTAGCCGTAGATGGTCTCGCTTATAGGATCATAGGGTATGTCGAATAGATCATCCCTAGGTCCTGCGCTCGAAGTTGCCGACTCAATATCAGTTCTCAACTGAGCAAGGTTAGAAGGATATATTCGAGTCCGATTTAGCTTCTCCTGAGCCTGGAACCTTCCCCTAAGCCTTTGCAGCTCTGTTGGCTTCACATGTGGGCAACGGGGAGCCTTAACACCATGCTGCGGGGAGAGAATATTAACTCCTCGGAACGCACGACCCTTTTCAACGCTCCGGAGTTGTTTGCCCAACTTCTCAGGTACCTGAATAATCTCTAAGGGCTTTTTCTTAGCCTCTAAATCTCCCCTGAATTTCTCAAAGGCTTGAAAACCACGAGCCGTAATGTTCTTAGTTAAAGTATCTTTATAGGATAACTTTAACAAATTCTTACTTTCGTGGGTGTTCGGCTGGAGTTTCTCGGTCGGTGCAGAGTCTTCTTTGCGGAGCCTCCTTTTTTGTTGGCGAATTCTCCTGGTGCCAGCCGGTCGTGACATTTTAAATCCACGCCATCATTTTCTCCCTTTTAAGCCAGCTCCGGGGTCGCCACGTCGTTACCTTTTTTCCTTTTTCTGAATCTTTTCATGACCGCCAGCTCGATCCGCACCTACTGGGATACCCATTTTTTTTACTTCGGGGGTGTCGCACTGTTGTTGCCTTGTAGCTCCGCTCGTGCCTTCTTCATTTTCCAACACGCCAAGAATCGATGTCCCGCTGCGCCGCAAAATTCGCATATCTCATATTTTGTCGGCCGCTGCTTCGCGTCGATCTTGTCGATATCCATCGGGTCGGCGGTCGTGGCTGAGGCCAATCACTCCCATGCCAAATTTCCTGTTCGGCTGGTTGCGTCGTGTGTCGGGTTGACCTCGAGTCAACACATCGAATCTCTTTGCTGCACACACACCATGTCGCGGTAGTTGCTGTAGTTCGCGGCAATCACCTGTCGGCGGACTTCCGTTTTTTTTTCCCTTCAGTATACGCTCGGATTTTTTCCACTTCGGCTAGGTCGGTAATTCGATTGAAGAGGCTCTCCATCTGCTGCGTGTACTGTGTTACACTGCTGCACTGTTTCTGCCAATGAATCTGCTGCCGCGTCATATAGCTAGAATAGATCAGTTCGAAACGTTGAATTAAAGCTGCCCAAAACTGCGTCCATGACCCCTCGCCTCGGATCTCGTTGCTATTGTAAATCCACTCGAGCGCCGGGCCTCGCAACAGTGTCGCTGCGAGCCGAATCCGCATTGCATGATTTGTTAGGGTCGTATAGACAACGGCCTCGAAGTAGATTTTGAGGGTCGCAACGAATCGACGGACGTCAGCGTCTCTCGCATTCGGATTGAACGTCTCCGACGTTCCGCCTCAAGATTCACTGTAGCTGCTACCGCTGCTGCTGTGTGAAATGTCTTTGTCGCCGCTGCTGCTGCTGCTATCGCTTCTGCATTCGCTGCTGCGTTTGCTGCTGCCGTGGTGGCTTCCGACTAGTTCTCAAGTAACGCCTCAATTTCCTGGAGTGCTTCTCACGTCTAGTCCATGTCGGTGCATAACTCCGTAATGTTTCGTACGAAATTATCACCATTTTCCTCCATTTGGCAATTTACAGGAAGATTTGCAACGGAAATAATCGACTTCTAGGCGCTGATCCACTTACTGCGAATTGAATTAACTATAAAAATTACAAGCGCTGATTCTTTACGTCGCGTTATTCCCCCTTAGTCGAAATTCGTGTCCGATCTTGACCATTGAGAAAGAAAACCGATTCAAGGCTCCAAATTCCAACTTTTTGGTCGTTGCCCCCGCGGTTTTAAAAGCTAGGTTTTATCGCTCGAAAATCATTGCGTGTAAACGGGCTCTGATACCAAGTGTGAGGATCTAGGATCATGTTCAGAATGTCAAACATTATATGTTTATATGATTGTAGGCAGTAGTGGGTGATACCTTAGGGGGTACACTGGATTAGGGTTTCCTATTTGTATCCATCCTTCTGTTAGTACAGTCATTCCAGTCTGTTATTACTGACATGGTTTCAGAGCAGGTCCTTCGCTAGGACCGTTCTTAGGGCCCACCGTTACCTACATACCTACCTACCTACTGTGCGCCTCGTGCGCCTCCTACCTACCGCGCGCGCGCAGCCCGCCAGCCGCCCGCGCGCGACTCGACTTTTTTTTTTTTTAGCGCGCGTATCCCGCTACCCGCCCGCGCGCGGTCGATTTCGCTGCGCGCGCCCCGCTAGCCGCACGCGCGCGGCTGTTTTCTTTACGCGCGGCCCCGCACGCTGCCCGCGCGCTGCCTGTGCGCCTCGCTGCTGCAGCCGCCCGTCGCCCGCTCGCGCACACCCCGCCGTGGCCCCGCAGGCCCGCAGCTCGCCGCCGCAGCTGCCGCACGCCCGTTGCCCGCAGCCGCCCGTCCGCCGACGCCGCTGCCGCCCGTGCACCGACGCCGCTGCCACCCGTGCGCTGCTGCCGCTGCTGCTTGCGCACCGCTCGCTGCTGCAGCCGCCCGTGCGCCTTTGCAGCCGCCGCCCGCGAGTCGCCCGCTACCGCTAGTGCGCCGCAGGCCCGCAGCCGCTGTCGCTCGCGCACGCCCCGCAAGCCCGCAGCCCGCCGTCGCAGCGGCCGCCCGCCCGCAGCCGCTCGTCGCCTGCTCGCAGACGCCCCGCTGCCCGCAACCGCTCGTACGCCGCTGCTTCCGCTGCTGCTTGCGCACCGCTGCCTCCCGAGCGCCACCGCTGCCCGTGCGCCGCCGCTGCCCGTGCACTGCCGTTCCCCGTGCGCCGCTGCTGCCCGTGCGCTTCTGCAGCCGCTGCCCGCGAGGCACTCGATCTCACTGCTGTTTATTTTCTACCTACCGCGCACACTGCTACCACTGCAGCTGCCACCAGTGCGCCGTTGCAGCTCCTGCTGCCACGCTTCCTACTACTACTGTTACTACTGCCACTACTACTACTGCTACTGTCACTATGGCTAGTCCGCCAGTTCTAGCTTTCGATGCCGAGGGCCGTCCAGTGAAGTTCGACACCTGGCTCGATGACCTACACCTGTTCCTACAGCTCACTGCCAAGGAAGATATCTCACTGTACGACCATGCCCTAGGCCATGCCACTGCCCCTGACTCGTCTGCTGACAGCACTCTGCGTTCCCAGTGGCAGACCCGTGATGCGCACGCTCGCTTTGCTATTCGCAACTCCCTGCCGCTAGACGAGCGCGAGCACTTCGGCCAGTGCAAGACTGCTAAGGACCTCTACACCGCTGTAGTTGCCCGCTACTCCTCACCCGCTTCTGCCACGCTAGGCCGCCTCACTCTCCCCTACCTGTTCCCCGACCTAGCCTCCTTTCACACTGTCGCAGACCTCATCACCCACCTTAAGACTAGTGAGGCCCGCTTTCGCGCTGCTATGCCTGCCGAGTTTCTCACTAGCAACCCCCCCCCCGCTCTGGATCACTCTCTACCACATCGTCACCCGCCTCCCTGACTCTCTGCGCGCAGTCAGGGACCACTTCCTCTCTCGCTCCCCCACTGAGCTCACTGTTGCCCTCCTCGAGAAGGAACTGCTTGCAGCTGAGGCGAGCATCGTCGCTGTAGGCACCTCTCGTGGCGACCCCCGCACCCCGTTCTTTGAGGGGTGTTCCCCTTCCCCCCTCCTCCCCTCTGTCGCCTCTGCTGCTGCTGTCGACCTTCTTGGTGCTGAGAAGGTCGGGACCGCGTCTGCTTCGAGCGGGCGCCGCAGGAACAAGGGGGGCAGGGGTGGGGGTGGTGGCGGAGGAGGTGGGGGTGGAGGCGGTGGGAGTGGAGGCGCGGCTGGGGAGACTAGTGGCGGCAGTGGGGGAGGAGACAGCAGCGGTGGGAGTGGTGGTGGAGGCGGCAGCGGAGGCGGAGGTGGTCGTGGCGGCGGCAGGGGTGGAGGTGGCCGGGGCGGCGGCGGTGGGGGTGGTGGTCGTGGAGGCACTGGCGGAGGGCAGAGTCAGCAGCCCGCCCCGACGCTTCAGGCCGCCCGTGAGTGGTATGCGCAGCGTAGCGTTACCTGCACGTACGTCATTCGCACAGGTGACCGCAGCGGCCAGCAGTGTGGGAGGCCGCACCCCACGCAGCGCTGCTTCGCGCGCCTTAACGACGCGTGGCGCACCCAGTTTCCTGCTGCCACTGAGCTGCCGCGCTGGGCTGATCTGGAAAAGAGGGGTGTTGATATTTGGGCTTTAGACTTTGATGCTATTCTCACTGCCATGTATGCGATGTCTATTAGTGGAGAGGGTGCTCAGTACTTGCGTGTTCCGCCCGACCCGGGCATTCAGGCCAGTCCGGCTGCCGCTCTAGGTGCTAGTGCGTCTGCTCCCACAGGTCCTGGTGAGGCTGCTGCCCTAGGTGCTCGTGCGTCCGTGCCCCCTGGTACTGAGTCGACTGCAGCACTGCACACCTTCACACTGGACTCAGGTGCTTCTCGCTCCTTCTTTCGTGACCGCACTGTCCTTGAGCCACTCGCTCGGCCAGTTGCTGTCTCCCTTGCTGACCCCTCTGGGGGTCCGGTCATTGCGACCTCCTCCACTGTCCTTCCTTGTCCGGCGGTCCCGTCCGGCACGCTGTCAGGTCTCTACCTCCCCTCGTTCTCTACGAACTTGGTGGCAGGCAGTGCGCTACAGGACGGGGGGAGGACGGGGGTGTTCACCAGTTCACCCCTGCCTACGAGCGCGTGACACACTGCACGTGTGCTCGGACGGGTCGCCACCTGGCTACCTTCACTCGGGAGCCGGGGTCGGACCTTTACACACTGACCACTGAGTCCCCTCAGGTAGCTACGTCTGCGTCTGCGTCTGCGTCAGGTCAGCTGTCCGCCCCCTGCTCGTGTCGCTCTCTGGCGCATGAGACTGTCCTTTGGCACCACCGCCTTGGTCACCCGTCTGTGCAGCGCCTTCGGGCCATGCACAAACGGGACCTTGTTGCTGGTCTTCCCAGGGTGCTCCCTCCCCTTCCCGACTCGCCTGCTCCTCCCTGTATTCCCTGTGTCGAGGGACGGCAGCGCGCCGCTCCTCACTCCTCCTCCTTTCCCCCGACGACTGCTCCCTTGCAGACGCTCCACATGGACGTATGGGGCCCAGCCCGAGTCCGTGGTCAGGGTCAGGAGAGGTACTTCCTGATTGTTGTTGACGACTTCTCGCGCTACACCACGGTCTTCCCCTTGCGCGCCAAGGGTGACGTCCCTGATGTCTTGATCCCTTGGATCCGTAGATCTCGTCTCCAGCTCAGTGAGCGTTTCCGCTCCGACTTCCCTGTCCTGCGTCTGCACTCTGACAGAGGTGGGGAGTTTTCCTCTGGCCTATTGGAGGCCTTCTGTCAGCAGGAGGGCATTGAGCAGTCGTACACGCTTCCGGCCTCTCCACAGCAGAATGGGGTTGCTGAGCGCCGCATTGGTCTGGTCATGGAGGTCGCTCGTACCTCCTTGAGCCATGCGGCTGCCCCCCATTTTCTGTGGCCGTTTGCAGTCCGATACGCTGCACATCAGCTCAACCTCTGGCCCCGTGTCTCCTTGCCCGAGACTTCTCCGACACTGCGTTGGACGGGAGAGGCTGGCGATGCGTCGCGTTTTCGGGTCTGGGGATCCCGAGCTTTTGTCCGCGACACGTCCGCGGACAAGCTCTCCCGTCGCGCTGTCCCCTGCGTCTTCCTTGGCTTTGTCCCAGACGCCCCTGGCTGGCAGTTCTACCACCCCACCTCGCGTCGTGTCCTGGCCTCTCAGGACGTCACTTTTGACGAGTCCGTCCCCTACTACCGCCTCTTCCCCTACCGCACTGCCCCGCTCCCCCCCCCGCCTCTCTTCCTCGCTCCAGGTGCTGAGGTACCAGACCCCCTCCCCCCTCAGGGTGCCGCTCCCTCAGGTGTGTCCCAGGTAGACCCGGGTGAGCCTGTCGAGGTAGCTGTTGACTCTCGTCCTGCTCGGGGTGCTGAGCCTGGGGGTGCTGCGTCTGGGGGTGCTGAGCCTGGGGGTGCTGCGTCTGGGGGTGCTGAGCCTGGGGGTGCTGAGTCTGGGGGTGCGGAGCCTGGGGGTGCTGAGCCTGGAGGTGCGGAGCCTGGAGGTGCGGAGCCTGGCGGTGCTGAGCCTGGGGGTGCTGAGTCTGGGGGTGCTGAGTCTGGGGGTGCTGAGCCTGAGTGTGCTACACCTGGAGGAGCCCTCTCCTCCCAGCAGCTGCAGGAGAGGTACCTCGAGTACTGCCGCCTTCGGAGAGGTGCTGCTGGAGCTCGTCCCGGTACTTCCCCTCCTACCCAGGAGCTCCCCCCCATTCAGCAGATCCGCGAGTGGTACACACGGCGCTGCAGTCTTCGGAGTGGTGCTCCTGGTGCTGCGGACCCTGGGGGTGGAGCTGCTGCTGGTGCTGAGGAGCCGCCTGGTGGAGCTGCTGCTGGTGCTGAGGACTCGGACGTTGGAGCTGCTGCTGGAGCTGAGGACCAGGACGGTGGCGCTGCTACTGGTGCTGAGGACCCGGGCGGTGGAGCTGCTGCTGGTGCTGAGGACCTGAGCGGTGGAGCTGCTGCTGGTGCTGAGGACCCGGCCGGTGGAGCTGCTGCTGGTGCTGTGGACCCGGACGCTGGAGCTCCTACTGGTACTGAGGACCCGGCCGCTGGAGTCTCTTCTGCTTCTGGAGACGCTGCGCGGCCGCGACCGTACTTCGTACCGCTCCTTCAGCAGGTTCTTGGGCAGGCTCCTCCTCCTTGTCCTCCTCCCTCCGTAGAGTGTCCTCCGCCTGTCCAGCCGCAGTCACAGTTACTGCCTACCTCGCCTCTCCCTGCTCCCTCTCCTTACACTGGTCCCACAGGAGGCCTTACAGAGCGTCGTGAGCCTGAGTCTCGTCCTGCGTCGCCTGTTCGTCCTGCTCGCACTGGTAGTCATGTCCGTCGTGAGCGTCCTCCTCCTGTCCCAGGCACTCACTACATGACTCTGCGTCCCTCTACTGCTCCTCAGCGTGTCCCTCTACCGTCTCCTCCTGCGTCCTCTTTGCCTGACGTTCCGGACCCTGAGTCTGACCGGTATCGTGCTGAGCACCCTACTGTCACGCGTCTCCTTGCTACTGTTGTCACTGACCCTACCTTTGAGTCCTCGACTGCGTCTGCTCTGGTCGCTGAGTTGGTTGACTTTGCTGCTGCCTGTCGTCTAGACTACGCTGCCAGCCTTGTTGCTGAGTCTGAGTCTGAGTCTGTCTGTCCTCCGTCCGTCGGGGGTGAGTGTGCTCTTGGCACGGACGTCCTTGAGGACAGACAGGAGGAGTTCCAGTGTCTTGCTGCTGCTTTGCCCTGTCTCGTGTCCTTGCTAGTTGCCCCTGAGGGAGACCCGGATGCACCAGACATCCCGACCCCGCGCACTTACGCTGAGGCGATGGCGGGTCCCTACTCCTCTCAGTGGCAGACAGCCATGGACGCCGAGATGGCTTCCTGGAAGTCCACACGCACCTACGTCGACGAGGTTCCCCCTCCTGGGGCGAACATCGTCAGTGGCATGTGGATTTTCAGGGTGAAGCGGCCGCCGGTTTCTCCACCTGTCTTCAAGGCGCGTTACGTGGCTCGAGGCTTCAGTCAGCGAGAGGGAGTTGACTTCTTCCAGACCTTCTCCCCCACCCCGAAGATGACTACTCTTCGGGTGCTGCTGCACATAGCCGCTCACCGCGACTACGAGCTTCACTCACTTGACTTCAGCACTGCTTTCTTGCAGGGCAGCCTGCACGAGGAGATCTGGCTGCGCCGCCCACCTGGCTTCACTGGGTCGGTTCCTCCTGGTACCCAGTGGAGGCTTCAGTGGCCGGTCTACAGTCTCCGCCAGGCTCCGCGTGAGTGGCACGACACACTGAGTTCTACACTTGCGGCTCTTGGGTTCGCGCCTTCTACAGCTGACCCGTCGCTGTTCCTGCGCACTGACACTTCGCTGCCGCCGTTCTACATCCTCGTGTACGTCGACGACTTGGTCTTTGCCACTGCTGACACTGCAGGACTCGCCTACGTGAAGTCGGAGCTGCAGAAGAGACACACGTGCACAGACCTGGGTGAGCTGACAAGCTATCTTGGCTTGCGGATCACCCGGGACAGAGCACGGCGCACCATCACCCTGACTCAGTCACACATGGTGCAGCAGGTTCTCCAGCGCTTCCGCTTCACGTACTCCTCGCCTCAGTCCACTCCTCTGCCTACCGGTCACTCGCTCTCAGCTCTGCCTTCGGATGAGTCCGTAGAGCCGAGTGGCCCGTATCCAGAGCTTGTGGGCTGCCTCATGTACCTGATGACCTGCACTCGACCTGACCTTGCATACCCTCTTAGCATCCTTGCACGCTATGTCGCTCCTGGCCATCACAGGAAGGAGCACATGGATGCCGCTAAGAGGGTGTTGCGCTACTTGTGCAGTACGTCGGGCATGGGGCTTGTGCTTGGAGGGCGAGACCGAGTTGTTCTCACAGGGCACTCAGACGCTTCTTGGGCAGACGACCAGGCCACTCAGCGGTCGTCTCAGGGTTACACCTTCAGCCTTGGCTCTGGCTCAGTTTCTTGGCGCTCTACACGCTCTTCTTCTGTTCTCGGCTCCAGTTGCGAGGCTGAGATCTACGCTACAGCCATGGCTGCCCAGGAGTTACGCTGGCTGACCTACCTGCTGACCGACCTCGGAGAGCGGCCTCGTTCTCCTCCAGTACTGTACGTCGACAACAAGGCTGCCATTGCCTTGTGTGAGGAGCACAGACTGGAGCACAGAACGAAGCACATCGCCCTGCGGTACTTCCTTGCTCGAGAGCTGCAGCAGCGCGGTCAGCTTTGTATTCGCTATGTGGCCACTGAGGCCAACACTGCTGATGTGTTCACCAAGGCGCTTCAGCCTCGTGACCATCAGCGCTTCTGCACTCTACTAGGTCTTGTGCCTACTGGACCTCACTTGCTTACCTCTTGACTTTGCTTGTACTGTGATCACTATATATATCTATACCTGCATGTTTACTCTTGCTAGGTTGTGATCACTGTATCTCTTGCTCTATTATAAACCTGCATGTGAACTGGTCTTGTGACCACTAGCTTGTGCTCGGAATTTGTGTGGAATCCTCGAGATCCACCCTGAGCTTGTTGTTGCCTTGCTTTGCCTTGACTGGTCTTGTGACCCCACTTTGCCTATGGGGGTGTGTCAATGGGGGTGTGTCAAACATTATATGTTTATATGATTGTAGGCAGTAGTGGGTGATACCTTAGGGGGTACACTGGATTAGGGTTTCCTATTTGTATCCATCCTTCTGTTAGTACAGTCATTCCAGTCTGTTATTACTGACACAGAAAAGAGAAATGAATGGATTGATTCACCTGGGTACAACACGAGGCTATATAGTCTCGACACAAGGCCAGTAACCCAGGTGTTACGCGAATGTTCTGAGGGTCGCGAAGCGTCCCGAACAGAACCTTCCCGAATTCGGTAGAAGGCAATTCAGTGGCAACCGAAAAGCCTGAAATTCGGTACACGCAACCTGGTTCGGTGCTATAACTATAATAAAATATAGGAAAGCACCTAACCTAGGAAATCATTATAATCATGCATGATAAAAAAACACAAAGCTAGAAATAGCAGAATAATGTCAATGCAAGCAAGCAAAGCTAGCATAAGCCTAGCAAGGCCGTCGTACTCTTATAGGATGGAGGGTGGAAGGGGAGAGGGAATAACAGGAGGAGGAGGGGAAACAAGGGGAGGATGAAGAAGGTGGGGCAGGGGGAACCACACGAGGGTGAACTAAAGGCGGAGGTAGGGTGGGGACCGAGGTGGACATAGGGCATAGCAGGAGGTGCGACCACCTCCTCCTCCTCCACCGCCTCCTCAAGAGTGATCGGGAAGTGAGAGTGGGGGTAGGGGCTCATAGGGCATCAGACGCCCCACATGCTCCTGCTGGTGCCAAGCCTTCCATCCTGCCAGGAACATAGTCTCATAAAAGCCAACCTCCACAATGGTGATGAGGCGGTTGGACTCCAAGTCCAGCACGGTCCAGCCCTTGCTCACCGCGGACACCCCCAGGTGCCAACCCCAGCGATCCTTGGGCGCCAACCTCCCCCCACGCTGCGACTGTGGCACCATGTACTGAAGCATGCTGACATCGGGTTTGTGTCGGAAGGCGAGCTCATACGTCACACAAGAGGGCAGCGAGGCGTGCTCCACACGATTGCACACCCAGACGGCCTGCGCTAGCGCCAGGTGCCACCAGTGCTGCTGCACACCCATGTGCAGCAACATCGTGCGCACCGCCTCCACAATACTGCGCATCGCCCTCTCGGCCATCCCGTTCTGCTCCGGCATGTATGGGCACGTGAGGTCATGGATGATGCCTTTTCCGTCAAGGAAGAGCGTGAAGTCATGCCCCAGGAACTCGCCACCCCGATCAGTGCGCAGCGCCTGCACCGTGGTCTTGCACTGCCGCTCTGCCATCGGGAGCCACTTCTGGAACGCCGCCAGCGCATCACTTTTCTAGGCCAAAGGGTAGGCCCAGACGTACCGCGACTTGCGATCCTTCAGCACCAGGAAGTAGCGGCTGCCGTCCTTAGCTGCTTAAAAAAAAAGGGCCACATAGGTCAGCATGCACCACTCAAAGGAGCTCATTCTCCTCCTCACCCACAAAAGTAAAGATATGACGAGTGACCTTCTCCCGACACAGGAGACACAAGGTATGCGTGACTTGCCCCCCTTATGCAAATCCAAGCCCTTCACTGACCCGTGAGACGCAGTGCGCTCGATGGCATCAATACCAGTGTGACACGCGCATGCCACATGTCCGCCTTAAATCCCATGCCCGTCGCCAAAGTACGAAGGGCCACCATTTCACCTTCCTGCTGTTGCGTCGAACACGACTGGAAGTTCGTGCAGAGAACACGCCCCATTAACTCCGCACGACCAAGAAGCGACCCATCTGGTCCCCGCAGCAGAGTCACGTCGCTTGCATCCAGTAGCTGCACGACACTATCACGCAAATGCCCAAAAAGAAGACTCGCCTGAAGTCCAGGTACGTACAGCACGTCTGGCACCAAGACACGCCTGCCCCCCTCTCCAAGAAGAGTGACTATGCCTCACCCCTGCACCTCTTGAAGAGCGTCGTTGAAGCCTTTAACCTGTTTGATACTGCCGCCGCTGCTCATCTCCACAAAGCCAGAGCGATCTCCCATGAGATGGTGGGAGTATCTGCTATCAAGTAGCGCAACGCTCGGGTTCGCCTTCACAACAGTTGCAACAGCTTGAAAGCCCTCCCCGGCCTCAGGTTTCAGCACAACGGGAGGAGTCTGCTCTACAACGGGCTTCACCACTGCACATGATGACTGCCCGCTCCCCTTAGAGCCATCACCCCCCTTGCCGTTCGCGCTGCAGCCTCCAAAACCCTCACCAACTTTGTCTGCCTCCTTATCTGCCCGCTCCCGACGGTATCTAGCGACATGCCCCGGCTGTCCACACACGTAGCACATCCCCCTGAAGTCCCCTTTGTGAACATGGTAACGGAAAAATGGATGGCACAACAATGTCATACACGGGTTGATATAGCAAACCCTAGCCAACCCTAAACACAAATGTACACCACCTAGACTAGCAAACACAAACTATAACAATCAAAGTTTGACACCCCCCCATAGTCTAGGTGACGGTAGTCCTGTGGAAAGCAACACACAGTCTAAAAGCAAGGGTCAGATGACCGGTCAACAAGAGCAAGCAACGGTCACAAGACCAGTCAAGAGAAACAAAACAAGCTCAGGGTGGATCTCAAGATCACCACGCAGTCCGAGAGCAAGCAAGAGGTTACAAGGCCAGTTCACATGCAACGACATAGCAAAGATAGAAGATACACGAGTACAAGACATGCATGACATGCATTTCTATACGAACAAGGGGCCACAAGGCATGTCCACAAGTAGAGATATATGATATATAGTGAGATGCAAGAGTACAAAACAAAGCATCTCTACGCAAGCAAGTGAGGGCCGGAAGGCACAAGAGCTAGCTGGGTGCAGAAGCGCTAGTGGTCACAAGGCGGTAATGCCTTGGTAAAGATATTTGCAGTGTTGGCCATAGAGACCACATGTACCACGCGGGTCTGGCCACGCTGCTGTAACTCGCGCAGAAGGAAGTAACGAAGCTGGATGTGCTTCGCCTTCCCAACCGGTCAGGGCTCTTCACACAACAGGACAGCAGGACTGTTGTCGGCGAACAAGACTGGGGGAGAGCAAGGCCACTCACCAAGGTCAGTAAGGAGGAAAGACAGCCAGCGAAGCTCCTGGGCGGCCATGGCCGCAGCGTACACCTCTGCCTTACAGCTAGAACAGGAGAATGACGACGCACGAGTCAACCTCCACGAGACAGCTCTGATACCAAGACAGAAACAGTAACCCTATGTAGACCGCTGTCGGATCCTCAACTCTCAGCTACCACCCGCCCCCCCCCCTCATCAGTACCCACCCATTCCTTCCTGTTTCTTCTCTTCTTGTACCCTTTGCTCTACTCTCTTCCTTCTTCCTTCTTATGTCTCTGTACCCCCCCCCCCTTTCTCTCTGTTTGAGGCATTTGACCTCTCCCCCTCTCTTCGTTGCGGTTCCCTTTCTGTTCTCTTCCTCCTGCTACTATTGCCCCCTCCCTTGACCTCCTGCTTGCGCCCTCGCCCTGGTCAAGGGACTCGCATAAGGGGCCGCCTGTCCGTGCTTTCCTGCCCGCGCCACATTGGTGACGTGGTCCAACACTCGCTTCCCCTCGGCATCTTCTAACACCAGCACCCCTGAATCTCGCACCTCCTTTACCTCCCACCTCTGCTGTTACACTCCCACGTCCAATCCGTCCTGTTTTGCCCGCTTCACATACACTTTCTGCCGCTCTTGCACCTCCGGCTGCCTCCCGTGCAGCTTGCTCAACTGGCGCTCTTTGTAACGGTGTATGTCGCGCAATTGTGCCACCTTCAGACTCTCCATGGCTGCGGGTAACATCTTCTTCAAGTACCTGGCCTTGGCATCCGCCAGAGCCACCCACTTCTCCGCGCTGCCTGCAGATACGCTATCTGTAATCAACCTGGGTGCATCCACTGGCACGATAGGCTGTTTCCCGAAAAGCAAATAGTACAGGGACACATCCTTCAGCGCTGCTTGTTTGCTGAACCTATACCCCGCCATTACCCATGCCAGTTTCCGATCCCAGTCCCCCTTGTTTGCCTCACCATAGGCCCGCAAACCCTTCTTCACAGTCTGCACCAGTCTCTCTGTCAGTCCGTCGCTCTGCGGGTGATACCTGGAGGTCGTCCGGTGCTGTATCCCATTCTCCGCCAGCAGCTCCTTGTATTCTCCCTGGAACTCCATGCCCTGGTCTGTCAGCACTTCTCCGCACGCCCCGAACCTCGTCAGTACCATTTCCTCGAACGCTTCAGCCACCGCCCCTGCTGTCCTGGCCACCAATGGTCTTGCTTCTGCCCACTGGCTCACGTGTTCTATCATGAGTACAATGTATCTTCTCCCCTTCCGTGACACCGGCAGTTCTCCTGCTATGTCTAGAGACCAACGATAACCCAGCTCCACTATGTCCAACGGCTGCAGCTCCGCCTAGCTCTTCAGCGGGCTTGCTTCGTTCCTACAGCACTGCTCACAGCGCTCCACCCACTCCTTCACCTCCTTGCGCGTCCCCGCCCACCACCATCCGGTCTGCAGTAGCTGCTGTGTCCTCAGGGGCCCGTAGTGCCCCAATTTGTTGTGCACCTCTTTGATTATTCCCTCTCTCTCCACTGGTGCTGGCACCCTCTTCCACCCATCCTTCGTCTGAACAGCTGCACCTGCTCTTGGTACCACCTGTAGTGCTGTCCCCGCACTCTGGCTCTTGCTCCTGCTCCCCTATCTTTTGCCGTTTCTCCCTTAATCCATGCCATCTTCGCTGCATCCTGCCACACGTCTGCCTATCCTGACCCTGCTCCCTCACCATCGCTGTCAGCGCTACAAAGGGCCCCCTTTCCTCCTTCCCTCGGCCAGGTTCGTCTTGTGGTGGGTTCCTCGACAGCCCATCCACATGCTGCATCGTTTTCCCCAGCAGATGCTTCACCATGAAGTCATATTCCTGCAGCTTCATTGCCCACCGTGCATTCCAGCCTATCAACGTCTGATTGTGCATCAACCATAGCCGCGGTTGATGATCTATCACCAGAGTGAAATGCCTCCCTTGCAGGTACACCCTAAAGTGCCCCGCTGCCCATACAGCCGCCAGCCCTTCTCCCTCGTATGATGAGTAATTCGCCTCTGTCGGGCTGCAGGTCCTGCTCGCAAAGGCAACTGCCGTCTCCACTCCCTTCTCCATTTGGCTGAGCACTGCTCCCATTCCTGAGAATTGATTTATGATGGGGAATACAAGCAAGGTTTAAGTAGCATGCAAGAGTGATTGTTGGAAAGCGGTTTGTGGGACGAGGAAATGGAATGCTAAAAGAGTAGAGTGCCACGTGGCGGTTAGGAAATCTAGGAAATCCTTGGTGGATTGGATGAAGATAGGGTTCGGATAAGGTTGGGGGAATTGTTTAGGGTAAACCACCCTCGAATAGTAAACTACCACGTAACACAGCCTAGGGATTGTCACAGCGACCCTCTCAAACATACTTCGGCCATTTCATTGCTGCAAGTTTTGCTGCACGCCTAAAAACTTCGCGTGAAGACTCTCACTTTGACCTTATTAGTCTTTGAGCATTTTTCTTAGTCCCCATGGCGTCTTACCAACTAGCAAGAATGGCTGCTGCATCATTTCGAACTTCTAACTGACGAACTTCTCGTTATTATCCTCCATCTCGTCGGTCGACTCGACAGTCACGTCCAGCACGCGCTTGTGTGCAAGGAATGGTATCACATCGCCCGTCGTGTGCACGACCACATCCAGATTCGCGAAAACTGTCGCATGCGTCATTGCGAATTGCTCGTGCACCTCTCGTCATTCCCAAGGCTCCGAAAGCTCGTCCTCGCCCACGGCAGAATCACGTCCGTCCCCGACTTCCTCCTCTCGGGATAGCTGACACGTGTCCAGATCTGACGGACCTCCACGTCGAGATGATGGATCGAGGGTATAGACGGGGGGTGTTCACTGAGGAGGGACTGTGATCTCTCCTAGAGAAATATACACGGCTCGAGGGACTTCACCTCGATTGTCAGTCAAATTTAACTGCTATTCCTTCGTCAATTGGCCGCCTTGCGTCACTCAAGAGCATGCACATCAACAGCCGGCGAATCGTTCGCCTCCCAGATCCGTTCACCTTGTTACGGTCACTCGTGCATCTCGTGATTGTAATGCTCCGCCTGGATGAGCTGTCTCAGAACTTCGCCAGTATGAAACTGCTCAAGTCGCTCCTGCTGAACGACTGCATGCGTTCAGCTCTATTCCCAATTCATTCGAGAACCTTACCAACCTGACATACATTGTTGGACCCGCCCCTAGTAACGTTGCCGAAACGCAAGTGCATGGATTGCATGGAATAACAACAAAATGAACAAACCAGTTATGCTCAAGTTCACACAGTTGTCTATAAGCACATAATATATCTTCAAAACATTTTCTATATACCCGTGCTTACATCTTCCATTTGGGTGTTCCCTGCTGGCGTCCCATCTTAGCACGTACATCCTGTAAGATCCAAATAGATGCGCGGTTCAGCCAGTAGAGCATGTCATGTACCGACATAGATGAGCCAAGTCACATGTCAACCATTTCCCGAACTGACATGGATGAGGCGCGGAGCGCAATGGTCGTTTCATGCACCGACATGGATGAGCCAAGTGCCATGTCAAGCAGTTTATAAGCTGGCATGGATAAGCGGCGTAACATGTCGACCATTTCCTATGCTAACATGGACGAGCCAAGTCACCCATTGAGCGTTTCCTGTACTGACATGGATGGACCACGTAGATTCTCGACCAGTCCTGGAGTTGACACGGATGTGTTAGAATACTACGCAGGAATGAAGAAACTATCGGGAATGAGGTACAAGTAGGAAACCCTAACTAGGGTTGTACTCTATACTGAGTATCTAACTGTAGCCTAGCAGACCTAAACATAAATATGTTTTGACACACCCCCCTAGGCAAAGTGAGGGATAGCCAACACAACAAACGGTCACAGGACTAGTCAGGCAAGAGAACAATGCAATGCAAAGCTTATGGTGGATCTCAAGATCACCACTCATTCTGAGCACAAGCAAGCAGCCTCAAGGCCAGATCACATGTAAAGTTATAAGAGCATAAACAGCACAGTGATCACAACCTAGCAAGAGCAAGCATGCAAGTATGGAGGAGAACGAGGCCGCTCCCCCAAGTCGGTAAGTAGGTAGGTCAGTTAGCGCAGCACCAGTGCAGCCATAGCCCCAGCGTAGAGCTCAGCCTCACAGCTAGAACTAAGCACTGAAGATGAACGGGTGGACCTCCACGAGTCAGAGCCAGAGCCAAGACTTAACGTGTAACCCTGTGACGACTGCTGAGTCACCTGGTCGTCAGCCCAAGAAGCGTACGAGTGTTCTGTGAGTACAACTCGACCCTGTCCTCCAAGCACGAGCCCCATGCCTGATGTACTGCACAAGTAACACCCTCTTAATAGCATCCCAGTGCTCTCCTCTGTGTCTCCCGGGCGCAACGTAGCGAGCCAGGATGCTAAGAGGGTACGCAAGGTCAGGTCGAGTGCAGGTCATCAGGTACATGAGGCAGCCCACAAGCTCTGGATACGGGCCACTCGGCTCTACGGACTCGTCCAAAGGTGGAGCTGAGAGCGAGTGACCAGTAGGCAGAGGAGTGGACTGTGGCGAGGAGAACTGAAAGCGGAAGCGCTGAAGGACCTCGTGCACCATGTGAGACTGAGTCAGAGTGATGGTGCACCGTGCTCTGTCCCGGGTGATCTGCAAGCCAAGATAGTTGCGTAGCTCCACCAGGTCAATGCAGGTGTGTCTCTTCTGCAGCTTCGACTTCACAAGGGCCAGTGCCTCAGTGTCAAAGGTAGCAAAAAACAAGTTGTCGACGTACGCGAGGACGTAAAACGGCGGCAAAGAAGTGTCAGTACGTAGAAAAAGCGATGGGTCAGGAGTCGAAGGAGCAAACCCAAGAGCCGCAAGCGTCGTCCTCAGTGTGTCGTGCCACTCGCGAGGCGCCTGGCGGAGACCGTAGACCGGCCGCCGGAGGTGCCACTAGGTACCCACAGGAAACGACCCAATGAAGCCAGGTGGACGGCGTAGCCAGATCTCCTCGTGCAGGCTGCCCTGCAAGAAAGTTGTGGAGAAGTCGAGGGAGTGCAGCTCGTAGTCACGCTGTGCTGCAACGTGCAGCAACACCCGAAGAGTAGTCATCTTCGGGGTGGGGGAGAAGGTCTGAAAGAAGTCGACTCCCTCTCGCTGACTGAAGCCTCGATCGACGTATCGCGCCTTGAAGACAGGCGGAGAACCCGGCGGCCGCTTCACTCTGAAAATCCACATGCCATCGACTATGTTCGCCCCAAGAGGGGGAACCTCGCCGAGGTAGGTGCGTGTGGACTTCCAGGAAGCCATCTCCGCGTCCATGGCTATCTGCCACTGAGAGGAGTACTCACCCGCGATCGCCTCAGCGTAAGTGCGCGGGGTAGGGATGTCAAGTGCATCCGGGTCTCCCTTAGGGCAAACCAGCATGGATGCGAGACGAGTAAAACGGCCGCAAGACACTCAAGCTCAAACTGCCTGTCCTCAAGGACGTCCATGCTAAGAGCACACTCACCCTCGACGGACGGAGGACAGACAGACTCAGACTCAGTCGAGACGACACGTAGCAGCAAAGTCAACAAGCTTAGCAACTAAGGCAGACGCAGCAGTAGACTCAAAGGAAGGGTCAGTGACAACAGTAGCTAGGAGACGCGTGACAGTGGGACTGGCAGCAGCAGGAGCACGGTCAGACTCAGGGTCAGGAACGTCAGGAAGAGAGGACGCAGGAGGAGACGGCAGGGGAACACGCTGTGGAACAGAGGAAGGACGAAGTGTCATAGTGTGAGTGCCGGGGACATGAGGAGGACGCGGACGAGGAACACGACGACCAGTGCGAACAGTGCGAACAGGGGAGGCAGGACGAGACGCAGGCTCATGACGCTCTGTAAGAGAGTCTGTGTGCTCAATGTAAGGAGAAGGAGCAGGCAGTGGAGAGCCAGGCAGTAACCGCGGTTGTGACTTGTCAGGCGGAGGACACAGGAGAGGCTGGGGAAGACCAGTGGAAGACGGAATACTAAGGACTCGACGAAGTGCCGAGTCAGGCGGTGGCAGGGACGAATGCGGCTATGGGTAGAAAAATTGTCGCTGCAGCGCAGCACCCACAGTACCAGAGCCTCCAGCGCCAGCAGCTCCAGTACCTCCAGCTCCAGTACCTCTAGCACCGACAGTACCTCCAGCACCTCCAGGACCTCCAGCTCCAGTAGCACCAGCACCTACCGTGCCTCCAGTACCAGCAACACCAGCACCTCCAGCGCCTCCATCTCCGGCAGTACCTCCAGCACCAGCACCTCCAGCACCTCCATCTCCGGCAGTACCTCCAGCACCAGCAGCACCTCCAGCACCAGCAGCACCACCAGCTCCAGCAGCTCCAGTACCTCCAGGGTCTCCAGTGCCTCCAGCTCCGGCAGTACCTCTTGCACCAGTAGCACCTCTTGCACCCGTAGTACCACCAAAACCCGCACCCCCAGTCGCAGCACCCCCAGAACCCGCACCTCCAGTCGCAGCGCCCTCAGAACCCGCACCTCCAGTCGCAGCACCCCCAGATTCCACACCTCCAGTCGCAGCACCCCCAGAACCGGCACCTCTAGAGTCCTCGTCCCCAGTGTCACCACCCCTAGCAGCACTAGTGTCCTCAGCCACAAGCTGCAAAGGCGGCGAAGATGGGCGAGGCGAAAAACCCGGGGGGGACGCTAAGCGGGGAGAGCGATGAGTGGCTGCCGTGTCGTCAGCGGCAAGGTCACCCGCCGTAGCCGAGCCAGAGGTGTCAGAGGAGATCACAAGAGGCTCAACCAAGGTGCGAGCAATGATCACCAGAGGCTTAATCAAGGATCACCAATGCGACGCTCAGCAATCCCATTTTGCTGCGGAGAGGCCGGAAGCGTGAACAACTAGACAATGCCCTCGTCTCTACAGAACTCCGCAAGGAGGCCGGAAGAGAACTCATCGCCCTTGTCAGAGTGCGGACGCAGGACCAGAAGGTCCCGCTGAAACCGCTCGCGCAGCTGGCGACGAGTAGCACGGATCCAGGGGATCAGAACACTGCGGACATCCGCCTTGCTGCGCAAGGGGAAGACCGTGGTGTAGCGCGAGTAGTCGTCAGTGACCTGCAGGAAGTAGCGCTCCTGGTCCGTCCCACTGACGGAGGTCGGGCCCCACACGTCCATGTGAAGAGTCTGCAAAGGAGCAGTGGTCGGAAGAAAGGAGGAGGATTGAGGGGCGGCAGCGCCCCCCCTCGACGTAGGGAAGGCACGGGAGGGGCAAGCGAGCGCGGGAGGGGGGGGGGGGACTTGGGAAGGCCAGAGACGAGGAGACGGGAGTGCATTGCTGCGTAGACGCGGTAGAGAGGGGTGACCGAGTCGGTGGTGCCAGAGGAGAGTCTGGTGGGAGAGTACCCGGCACGAGCACGACATAGCTAACTGCCCAGACGCTGACACCTAACTCGACTCAGCCACCTGACTCGACGCAGCCACCTGTGCAGACGCAGTGGTCAGGGTGTACAGACTGGACCCAAGCTGCCGTGTGAACGTAGCAAGGTGACGACCAGTCCGGGAGCACGTACAGATCGCCACACGCTGCCCTCCAGGGGTAAAGGTATCAACCCATGCATCCTGAAGGACTGCGTTGCTCACCAGGTTCGTCGAGAACGAGGGGAGGTGGAGACCTGACTGAGACCCAGAGGGGACCGCCGGACACAGGAGGACAGTATAGTCCCGTGCCATGACAGGACCCCCAGAGGGGTCAGTTAGGGAGACTGGGACAGGTGCAACGAGCAGTGTGACGGTGGTGCAATCACGAAAGAAGCAACATGACGCACCAGAGTCAAGTGTGAAGGTGTGCAAGGCTGCATCTGAAGCAGTAGACTCACTAGCACCGGTGGCAACAGACGCACTAGCACCTAGAGTGGCAGCAAACTCACTGGCACCTAGAGCAGCAATATCGTCACCAGCCGCGCAAGGCACACACGAGTAACAGGCACCCTCAGCACTAATAGCATCAACATACATAGCATAGGGTCCCTTGTTAATAGCATCAAAGTGAAGGACAAACACATCTACTCCCTTTGCTATAAATGCCAGCCAGTTCGGGACCTCCTGCTCAGTGCCGTACTCAGTCACCCAGGCATTCTCGAGACTACCAAAGCAGCGATACTCAGTGTGCGGTTTCCCGCAGGTCTGGCCCTTCTTGGGCCACGTGCGCCTTGTCAGAATGTTATTCTCTAGCCTGTAGTGGGGTGCTCTATAGCGAGTACAACCCATCTAGGGTTTGCTATATGTATCCTCATTCCTGCTAGTGAACCCCCTCTTTGCCTAAACTTTCTCTTGCCTAGCTAGGGTTCTCCTAGCTATGGCTCCTAACTATAGCTATTATCTTCACATGGTATCAGAGCGGTTACGCTCCTGTCCTGTGGGCCCACCACTTCACTGCTTCCGCTGCTACTGCTACTCCCTGTCCGCCGCGCGCCTCGTTATACACGGCGTTGAAATTAGGGTTTTCAGCCCGCCGTGCGCCCCGAGGCGCGCGGCGGTTTTCTGCCCGCCGTGCGCCCCGAGGCGCGCGGCGGTTCTCTGCCCGCCGTGCGCCCCGAGGCGCGCGGCGGGTTTCTGCCCCGTCACACCGCGCGTTGCTCCCGGGAGGCGCTGCGACGGGCGACGGGGACCCGCGCGTCGCCCCCCGTCGCCCGTCGTGGCCTGCGCGCGGCCCGTACAGCCGGCGCGCGGCCCGTACGGGCTGCGCCAGGCCCGCGCGCGGCCCGTACGGGCTGCGCCAGGCCCGCGCGCGGCCCGTACGGGCTGCGCCAGGCCCGCGCGCGGCTCGGGCCGCCTGCGCGCGGTTCGGGAGGCTGTGCCAGACCCGTGGGCGGCCCGTTCTTCGCTGCCCCTGTCCTCCCCACTGTCCCCCCGTGCTTCTGAAGGCGCCCCACCCCTCCTTCTGCCCGTACTCCTGGATTAGGGTTTGGGGGTGGGGGGTATGGGGGTGCAGCTTCTGTGTGCCGTTCCCTGCTCCTCCTCCTCCTCCGTCTCCCTGTGCTGCAGCTGCCGCTGAGGGGGGTGGACCTGTTGGAGCCGTCGGAGTGGTACTAAGGGGGGGGTGAAGGGGGAGTGAAGCTAGCGGTGTAGCAGCGGGTGTGTGTCAGGGGGAGTGGGATAGTTTGGGGAGGTTGAAGGGGGTGGCCGCCGTGAAGCCAGCAGCTCCAGTCGCCCGTGAGACCGTTGCGCCAGTCGCCCGTGAGCCCGTTGCGCCAGTCGCCCGTGAGCCCGTTGCTCCAGTCGCCCGTGAGTCCGTTGCTCGTCTGCCGCTACTTTCAGCCGCGGAGCCAGTTACTCCAGTAGCCCGTGTGCCAGTTGCTCCAGTTGCCAGTGTGCCAGTTGCTCCAGTTGCCCGTGTGCCAGTTGCTCCAGTTGCGCCGTGTGCCAGCAGCTTCAGCTGCCGCCCACTACCTCCTCTCCTCTCATAGTCTCTTTCCTCCTCCTCACTTGCCCGTTGTGACTACCACTAGCTTTGCTCATAATTGTGATCTTTAAACTATTGCTTCTTGAACTTGTGCTCAGAATGTGTGGTGACATTGTGATCCACCCTGAGCTTGTACTGCTTTGCTTGCTCTGCTGATTACACCCCACTTTGGCTATGGGGGTGTGTCAGAATGTTATTTGTCTAGCCTGTAGTGGGGTGCTCTATAGCGAGTACAACCCATCTAGGGTTTGCTATATGTATCCTCATTCCTGCTAGTGAACCCCCTCGTTGCCTAAACTTTCTCTTGCCTAGCTATGGCTCCTAACTATAGCTATTATCTTCACACGCCTGACATACAGGCAACGAACAGAGCCCCCCGGGGAACCACGCTGGACAACCCACTCACGAAGTTGCTGAGGGGTGGGTGTGTCCGGAGGCGTGGCAGCTTCTGTCCACTCCCATAGCCTCCACCGCCACGAGCCAAGCCCCCAGAGCCTTCACGTGCACCAGTGCCACTCCAACCGCCTCCACCACCCCCGCCGCCTCCGCCACCTCCGCCGCCTCCACCACCCCCGCCGCCTCCAACACCCCCGCCGCCTACACTACCTCCACCCCCAGTGTCACCTCCACCGCTTCCACCCCCGCCACCACCACCCCCGCCACCACCACCGCACCACCCCCACCACCCTTACCCCCTTTGCCCCTGCCGCTGCGGCGCCTCCCACTAGGTGTAGACGCAGCGCCAACACTCTCAGTACCAAGGAGGTCGACAGCAGCAGTGGTAGCAACTGAGGGAATGAGAGGGGAGGGAGCACACCCTTCAAAGAAGGGGGAGCGGGGAGTGCCACGAGTGGCAGCTACAGCGACAGTACTGGTCGTAGCCTCTTGAAGATGCTTCTTTAGGGAGGCCAGTGTGAGCTCAGTGGGGTCAAGGGCGAGGAAGTGGTCCCCAACTGTTCGGAGGGAGTCAGGGAGGCGAGCGACAATGAAGTATAGGGTGATATAAAGGAGGGGGGGGGGGGTCTCTTTGAGGAAGGCTGGCTTGAGAGCGGCGCAGAAGTGAGGCTCACTAGTGTGAAGGTGGGTCATAAGGTCAGCACTAGTGCGGAAGTCTGCGAGCTCAGAAAAAAGGTAGGGCAGTATGAGAGGGCCTAGGGCAGCAGTAGCTGGGGAGGAGTAATGGGCAGCAACAGCGTCGTAAAGGGTTTTGGCAGTCTTTTGCTGGCTAAAATGTGCCCTCTCAGCTAGCGGAAGGTGGTTGCGGACAGCAAGGCGGGCAGTGGCATCACGTGTGAGCCACTTCGACTGTTCTAAGCGGTCGGCTGTATCAGCGGGGGCGGAGAGGGATCCGGACGTATGTTCTATCAATGAGACTCCATCCCCAGCTTCGCTCTACAGGTACAGCTGGAGATCATTGAGCCAGACATCAAAGCCAATGGGGCGACCCTCCGCATCAAAGGTAAGAACCGAGATGGTGGCCATAGTGGCAGTAGTAGCACTAGCAGCAGCGCGGGTTGGGCTAGGCGGCACAGCTCGGCAAGGCACAGCACAGCAGCGCGTGTGGCAGCAGCAGCTCAGGCGCAGCAGCGCGCGCGGTAGTAGCAGCTCAGGCGCAGCGGCGCAACCGCAGTAGCTGCAGCAGCGCGCGCGGGCAGGCAGGGGGGGGTTTGCGGGCGGACAGCTCGCGGGCAAGTGGCGCTCGCGGACAGGCAACGCGCGGGCAGGCGATGCTCACGGGCAGGTGGTGTGCGGCAGACAGCTGCGCGCGGCAGCGGCAAAGCGTTGGACAGAGGCGTCCACGGCGCGCGGGGCAGCGAAGGCGCGCGACGCGCGGAGCAGCGGTGGCACGCGCGTGGGGCAGCGGTGGCGCACGACGCGCGACGCGCGGGGCAGCTGTGGCGCGCGACTCGCAGGGCAGGGGGAGCACGCGACGGGCAGCAATGACAAGCGCTTTAAGGGCGCAAGGCGGGCAGAAAAAACGGCGCGCTAGCGGGGCGCGCCACGGGTAGCGGAAGGGGCAGTAGTAAGATTGCGCGTAAACGCGTGGTTCTAAGGATCTAACGTGCTCTATACCATGTTAGAATACAACGTAGGAATGAATGAACTATCGGGAATGAGGTACAAGTAGGAAACCCTAACTAGGGTTGTACTCTATACTAAGTACCTTACTGTAGCCTAGCAGATCTAAACATAAATATGTTTTGACAGGATGAGCAACTGTACTGATATGGATGAGCCTTGTAGCATGTCAAGCATTCCCTGGGCTCCATTGGCCGAGCCATGTAACATGTGAACCATTTCCTGCTCTCAGTCAGGTTGAACACTGGAGGCACCTTGAGTTCCACCTAAAAAAAAAAAAAGAATTAATAATAATAAAAAATCCCGAAGGCACATTTTCCAGAAAAAATAGGACCCTGATTGCTCAGGGTTGAAAAGTAGTTAACTCCGATTGTTCAGGGTCGAGAATCGAACATTAGAGTAGTAACGCGCTCTTTGTTACCGGGAAAAAACTTTCATTCTGCATAAAAACGGTGCTCTGTGTTCGGGCACATACTGCGCGCGCTAATTTCCACCCTTTTACTTGTGATAAAATATTATTATCCACGCATTTTAGCGCGGGGAAGAGATGAGCAATTTCGGTCAGCCAAACAGTTCGATACCTTAGATGTGCCAATTTTTTATATTCGCTGATTACTCGCAATTGGCCAATACAGTCAATATTAAACCTTCGGATCGATTTACATGGTAATGGAAACTTTTATGATAACATTGAATTTTTTCGGTAATGACAATAAAATGAGGGTGATTTTTCTCCAAATTTCCCAACAACACGATTATTATAAAGGTTGAAACATTCATTAAATATATTTGTAGTGCAGCTATACTACAATCGAACCGTATCGTCAACACTCACAGACACCCATATAGAGAGCAGATCAAAAGTCCACACTCACGCCTTGGTAAGGACGCGATTAGAGTGCAAATATCGTAGGGTCGTCTGCAAATATCGAGCTCCACAATCGAGTGGGCAGGTCGATTGGCGAAACGTGGCGACCTCGACGTTGTAACGATCGCACCTGATAATTGACAGATCTCCCGCGATGAGTGATCAGTCGCATTCACACACTGCACAAAAATTGGCCAGAACGCGTACTGTAGCATGGTTACACAGTAGCTAAAAGGGTAACCGATTTGCACAGCGATCGGACCGACGATCGATCGTCTACTTTAACCGCGTCCTGAGGAAGGCGATCTTCATCGTGACCCAAGTCAGTAAGCAGCTTCAGGGCAAGTTTTCCGAGCCGCCATGATTGAAAGCACCTAGTACTCGCAATTCTGTCGTAAGCATCACAACGAGCCAGACCTTTGTTGGGATTGTTGAATTTCTCGGGGTGAATTCAGAGTGGGAGAGGTCCATCTCGCGGCCAGCTGCCGTCCACATGGAGCAGCTTCTGGCGGGCGAGGCGCGGAGGGACGCGCTAGTGGTCGACGGCCGGCAGGTGGCTGGCAGCGGTGACGTGGCGGCGCTATGGAGCGCGTGCGAGGAGAGGGTGACCGTTAGGGGCGCGCGGTGAGTGGTGCGCGGAGAGGGTGGGGAACAGGCGGGATGATGTGATGTTCACTCGATCCCGCGCAGCAAGGGGTGACGAGGAGTAGCAATGTGTAACGAGGAGCGAGGGGTGGTGAGGGGCAGAGAGGGGCAGCGATGGACATGGCAGAGAGACAGGGAAGGAGGGAGAAGGGGAAGAGAGGGCAGAGAGGGCAGTGGGGGCAGCGGGGACAGAGAGGGCAGCGGGGGCAGTGGGGCAGGGAGGAGAGAGAGGGCAGATGGGGGGAGGGAGGGTGGTGGACGAGTGACTGATGGGGCGAGAGGTTTGAGAGCACGGCCAGCATTCGAGAGGTTTGAGAGCACGGCCAGCATTCGAGAGGTTTGAGAGCACGGCCAGCATTCGAGAGGTTTGAGAGCAGGGCCAGCATTCGAGAGGTTTGAGAGCACGGCCAGCATTCGAGAGGTTTGAGAGCACGGCCAGCATTCGAGATGTTTGACATTTGAATTCAGCGTTGACTGCAGAGGGTTGACACTTGACTGCTCGAGGTGGATGCTACATTGCTAGCAGTTGGCACCTTGAACTGGCTTGACGTGCTATTTTCCAACAGCCATTTCAATCCGTCACTTGTATTTCTTAATCCACTTGATCTCTTCTCCCTCTCCCCTCCCCTCTATTCCCGGCGTGGGTGGCATGGGCGGGGCGAGGGCAGCAGCGTGGAGTGGAGTGCAGAGGGCGTGCTGCGCAAGAAGCTCACCACACCTCAAGCCATCTCGCAGGTGCTGCTCTCATGAGTCATGCCATTGCTCTCATGAGTCATGCCATTGCTCTCATGAGTCATGCCATTGCTCTCATGAGTCATGCCATTGCTCTCATGAGTCATGCCATTGCTCTCATGAGTCATGCCATTGCTCCCGTGCGTGCATGGTATCACTGCTGCCCAGTGCCCATAACCACATCTCGCTCCATCCACCTGCTTCACCCTAACGTCGCATGGTGCCCACTCCCTCCCCCTCCCTCCGCTCCCCCCTTTCCTCCACTCCGCCCATCCATACCTGTGCGCTTGCCCCATGAGTGCAGGCAGCATGGGTACGAATGCACGGGGAGGCGGCACGCTCATCGCTCGCGCTGCTGCACGCGCATGGGCTCACTCTCGCCGCCATCAATGGTCACTCACTCATGCTCCCTCCGCGCCCACCTTCGTTGATAAGCCTGGGGCGAGCTGCATGCGAGGGGTCAAGCTCATGAGCAAAGCGGCCTTTTTCTCGCCTGTGTGACTCCCGATGGGGTGGTGGCGTGGTCCCCTTGTAAATCGCCTCTTCCCCCTTCCCCTGCACCCCTTGTTCCTATGCTCCCTTGCCACCCTTCTCACACGCTGCTCCAATCTCTCTCACCCTGCCTGCCCTGCTCTCTGCCTTCCATGGCCCGCCCTGCCTTCCCTGTCTGTGCTGTGTGGCATGCAGGTGACACGCACGAGATGCCGCTGCCTTTTACCTGCTCGCGCCTCTGGCCTCTTCCCATCGGCCTGCTGCTGCAACCCCTGCACTTCCTGCACTCGCTGCCTGCACAAACACACGCCTTCCCCCCATCTACACCTCTCCCCGTGCACCCGCTCTCCCCTTTCCCCTCTGCACCTTTTCCGGCCTCCTCTCCATTCGCCTTCCCCATCCCCACTGCTGCCACTGCTCCTTTCCCCTCGCCTGCCTCCCCCATTCCCTTCCCCGCTCTCTCCCCCCACACTCCTGCCATCAACTCCTCCCTGCCTGCTCAAGCCGCTGCCGCCACCGCTGGTGCTGGTGGGGCAGCTGGCGGGCAGGCAGGGCGGGCAGGGGGTGGCGCGATGGGTGGTACTGACTGGGCGGATGGGGCAGTGGGTGGGGCGCACATGGGGGGGGCGCACTTGGGGGGGGCGCACTTGGGGGGGGCTGACATGGGGGGCCCTTACATGGAGGCAGGGTGCTTCACGCTCTTACACGCACATGATGAACTGCAGGTGAGGGTGGTGGATGTGCTGCTGCTGCTGCTCCTTGTGGTGCTGCTGCTGCTGAGAGTGCTGCTGCTCCTGGTGCTGGTGGCGCTGGTGCTGGCACTGATGGTAGTGATGTTGACGGTCCAGGGCCACATTGCTTCCTCACTCCCTACAGTATTTTGCACCTGTAGCCCTCCGTTACCCCCTCTGATCCCCTCTTCCTCGTTCTCTCCCTCCTCATTAACACGCCCCTTTTCACCACTCTTCCCTGCACTCCCCTCGACACGCTTCCACTCTCTCCCCGCTCCCCTCTCTTCCAGCCAGTGGCCATGGAGGGCACATCACCATGGCAGCAGGGAGGGAGTGAGGAGGTGCTCTGGTCGTCCACGGAGGTGCCGCTGCTCGCCACCTTCAACCACGGTCACGCCCCGCCCTCCCATCCACGCCTTCTCATTGCATTGCATATCGCATCCTCACTCCCTGCCTGTTCCCCCTCCCCTGGTGGTTTATTTCTGTTTGTTTTTGTTTTTGTTTGTTTGTTTTTTTATTTCATTCGAATGTGTAAGTCAGTTTAACCCTTTTTAGGGTCGAGGAATTCGTCAACTCTAGTAATTCTTGATATGAACAACTACCTTGTCCCCCCATTCATTCCCCCAACCCAAATCAACCAATCTTGGCCACTCTCCCAACCCAAGCAACCCGCCTTCCGCTGGCAACTTCATGTGCCTGCCTCCTCCACTCCACTCCGTCACTTGTACTCCAAGTCTGTGGAGGTGCTGTGGTCGTACTCCAACCCAACCATTGCTTCGCTTTCCAACTTCCAGCCCCTTCTCATTTCACTCTTGCTCACATTCCGTCCTCAATCGTTCCATCTACTCTCTGCCTTCCCCCTTGGCTCCAACCACAACCCTTCCCCCCTCAGCCCGTCGCCAGCACTCCGTGTGGCACCTGCGCTACCTCCCACAACGCTTCCTGCACCAATCATCTGGCGCCCCGTCAGCAGCAGAGCAGGATCCACTAATTGCAGGGCTGAGCCCCGTGTCTCCAGCAACGGCTGCTGGGAGGGCGGAGGGGGTGATGGGGACGGGGGGGGTGAGGGGGGCGGGCCAGGAGGGTGTGGTGGCAGGGAGAGGAGGCGGTGGGGGTGGGGGGGATGCGGGCATGGTGGGGGATCTGAGGCTGCAGGCGGGGCGAGGGGATGTGGGTGGGAGTGTGGGCAGTGGGGACAGGCGGGGGAGGGGAGGGGGAAGAGGAGGTGCGGCAGGCGTGGCAGCAGCGGCGAAGCTGAGTCGCTTCGCGGGGGGTGGGGGGGGTGGGGGGCCTGGTGGAGGGGTGGGGGGGAGAGCAGCAGGAGGACAGGCTGGGAGTGGTCGGGGAAGCATGGAGGGGCAGACGGGGGGGGGAGGGGTGGGCGAGAGGGGCGGGGATGGTGGGGAGGGGCGGGCGGGAGGCGAGAGGTGGGATGCGGAGGGAGAGGGCGGAGGGTGGTGTGTGCGCATGACACGTGTGTGGACGGGGCTTACAGGCCAGGACAAGGCCTCCCACGTGCTGCTCCTCTCCCACACCCCCCTATCCTCCTCTCCCCCTGGCCCTTCCTCCTCCTGCCCCCACCACACGTCCCTCCCTGCCGCCATCGCGCCTCTCCTCAGTCCCTCGCCCCCCCGTGGCTCGGCCTCCCTTGCCTTTTGCACGCCCGCTAGCCAGCGCGTGTGGGTGCGACACGTGGCGTATGGAGGCCCAGGGGAGGTCCAGGGCGAGGGGGGTGCGGAGGAGGAGGAGAGCAGGGCCGATGAAAAGGGGGGGAGTGGGAGAGGCGGGGATGAGGGCAGGGGGAGGGTGGTGCACATGGAGGGGCGGCGCTGCTGGTCGGTGGAGGCTGTCTCTGCTGTGGCTGTGAGGTGAGTCACTCCACACTCTGCACTCCACACTCTGCACTCTGCACTCTGCACTCTGCACTCTGCACTCCACACTCTGCACTTTGCACTCTGCACTCTGCACTCTGCACTCTGCACTCCACACTCTGCACTCTGCACTCTGCACTCTGCACTCTGCACTTGTTCACCACTTGGTGGCTAGCGAAGTAGCCAGGTAATCAACTTGTTGCTTTCTGCACCCATCAGCCTCACCTTCCTTCCTGCATGTTGCGTTTGTGAGGCTCCTGTCTGTGAAACATGTATGCTGTCTTGTATTGAGACTCCTTGAAACGAGTTCAAGTCCAACTGGGGAATTGGACGGCCACTTGCTCCACTATCCACGTGCCACTGCCACCAGCCAAGGCCCTTCCCATGCCGCAGCGCAGCTGCATGAAGCATGCCACTTGTGAGCTGCGCTCATGCCTTGAGGCTCCTTGCGCCGTGTGCTGCACGATTGAACGCCTCCATCTCTCCCCCCTTCTCTCCCCCATTCTCTCCCCCCGTTGCTCCCTGCGCCATCCATCGCGCACCTGCGGACGTGCCTCCCCTCTCATCCCAGCCACACAGCTCCCAGCACCGCTCTGCACCGCATTAATCGCTTTCTCCTTGTTGTGGACCGGCATGGCTTGCTCACTTTAATGGTGGGTCGTCACTGCTGCCGTGCTTCCACCGCCCCATACCATGCACGCACTAGTCAATGTATCACAGGGGCACCTCACAGGCACCTCAAAAAGGCCTGACATGACATGGTAGGTAGCAAGTGGTGCCCTGTAGCACCGTGCCAAAGGCCACTCGAGGGCAACAGCATGTCCTTATTGCAATGCATGCATGGCACTGCACAACAGCGCCTCCCTACCCCAGTGCTTCTTCAATCACCAACGCCTGTGTGCCTTTCATCCCCTCACCTCAACTCTTTGCTGTCACCTATTCCTTCCCCCCAACAGCACGGCCCTCTGCTGCTCTGGCGGGCGCCCTTCACCACCTTCCTCGCCCACCATGGCATCCACGTCGACCAATCAGAGCTCGCCACGTGTCCCTTGCGCCTGTGTGCTGCCCTGGGCGACCGTGTGTCCATTGTTCTCCCCAACAACCAGGTGGCCCCTCCTCTCCCTGCCTTTACACTCCCAATCGATCGCCTGTACTCTCTCTCTCTTCTCTTTATCGCCTCCACTCTATGTCCTCCTCATCTCCTAACGTTGTTTTCACCTCTCATCTCCTCACCCATCTCCTCACTTCCTCACCTGTTCGTCTCCCTCCACATCCAATCCTGTTTTTTTCTCCTCCACTCCACCATGTCACCAGGAGCATCGCTTCCAAGTCAAGCTAGCAGTCGCCGCCCACCTGCCTGCCAGGTGTCTCGCTGCCATTCGTGCCAGCCCCTTCCCCCGCCGCCTCTCCCACGACCTGCGCTGCGCCCTGCTCGCCCCGCGCCTCTGGAGGCTGCAGCAACAGCAACGCAGGGGGGAGCACAAGGCAGGGGAGCGTGTGGAGAGAGGTGGTGGGGCGGGTGAGGGGCGGCGAGTGGAGCTAGTGAAGCTGTGCACGCTGGTGGGCGCGGCTGATGGGGATGCTGATGATGCAGAGGGAGGGGAGGGCGAGGAGTGGTGCACGCTGCTGGGTGTGGTGGAGGAGTGGATTGAGGCGGCACTGGTGGGGGGTGGTGCTCGCACTGGCACTGGCAAGCAGGACAAGGAAAGAGAGAGGAAGCAGGAGGGAGAGAGAGAAGGGGAGCAGGGCGCAGAGGCAATGGAGGTGGATGGTGAGGGCGACACAGGCAGTGCAGGCAGGGGGGCACAGGGAGGTGCAGGCCAGGGGAGTCAAGCAGCAGCAGGTGGGGAGGGAGGGAGCGAGGCAGGGCAGTCAGCATGGGAGGGGCTGCTGGGCAGCCAGCACCACCGCCACCTGCTGCTCGCCGGTGCTCCCCCCTGGATGCCGTTCCCCCTCCCCTCACCGCCCACTACCGTCCATGCCGCTCCTGCTCGCCCTGGTGCTGCCACTACTGCTGCAACGCCCAGCATGCCTGGGGGGGAGAGAGGGGCAGACGGGGAGGGAGTGCAGGTGGGGGGAGAGTGGGGCGAGGGCGGGGAGGGCGTGGGGGTGGGGGAGCTGGTGGAGGTGCTGTGGGCGCTGCACGGCGTGTATGAGGAGAGCCGCCTTGATGCCCTGTGCCGCAGGTGGGTGGGTGTATGGGCGGGAGGGGGGTGTCGCTGCCATGCTGTGGGGCTGGCCTGTCTATGCGCGTCAATGCAGAGGCGCGCATGACCTGTGCGACCCACCCACCTCCCAGGTGCAGCAGTGTTGCTGAATATGGCAACCTCTCCCCACACTCCCTGCTTACTCCACCTTGTTCTTCCTTCTCTTCTCCCCTCTCCCACGCCCCCCCATCCACCCAGCTCGCTGCCTGCCCTAGCAGCGTTAGTGTGGGTGCTGGCAGCAGTGCTGGGCGCGCATGACCTGTGCGACCACTACCAGCGCCACCATCCCGCCCTCGCCCTCCTCGCTTGCTCCTTTCCTCCCATTCTGTCAGAGCGCGCACTGCCTCCCCACCCTGCATTGCCATCCGTCGTGCCATGTGTCTTCACCTGGTTGGCTCGCACTGCGCAGTTCGGTCCAAGTCATGCCGCCCCTTGGCTGGCGTGGATGCCCCCCTCCTTGCTGTCCACTGCCGCCCTGCCTACGCTGGGCAGTGCAGGGCAGGCGGCAGAGGGAGTGGTGGGAGGGGAGATGGATGGGAGAGGCAGAGAGGCAAGAGGAGGGCGGGGAGCAAGGGAGGGCAGGGGCGTGCAGGAGGGCGGCGAGTGGTGGGAGAAGTGGGAGAGCGAGGGGGAAGGAGGCACAGGGCTGCTGCCTCTGGTGGTGGCGCTCTTTTCGCTGCTCTTCCCCCACGGTGACTGGACCCGCCCTGCTGCCCGCCCTACTGCCCGCGCGCCACCGAAAGCCAGGCACAAGGCGGCTGTGGGAGAAGGGGCGCCGGGTGGAGGGAAGGCAAGCACTGACAAGGGAGGGAAAGGGGGTGCAGAGGGGGATGAAGGTAGGGGCGGGGCCGCGGCAGTGGCAGGATGGGGCGATGGTGTGGGGGGGATGAGTGAGCGGTGTGTGGCAGCCATGGTGGCGGCACGCATGGGGAGGTCCGACCTGCAGAGGCTGCCCCCTGCCGTCGCCCTGCCCCTGCTGCAGGTCAGCTCCTTCCCTTGCCATCATCCCTTCTTGCGTTCTTCCTCCTCGCTTTTCCTCTCTTCCCAAATCCTTTCAATCGTCCCTTCTCACGACCCCTCACTTCGCCCCCCCCTTCCCCCACCCCACCGCACTCCACCCCTGCCCACCCCTGCAGGCGCTGCATGTGTGCAGGGAGAGCCCGCCCCCCGGGTGGCCAGCAGCGGCATACGTGCTGGTGGGGAGGGACGACCTCGCTGCCACCGCCACCGCCTGCCTGCGCTGCTTCTCCCTCCGCCACTCGTCGCTGCCTCGCTGCCCCTCCCCTCACTCGCATCTCAGCGGCGCTGCGGAAGGCACCACCGCAACCACGGAATTATGCACCACTGCAGTGCCGCACTCCCTCTCGCCGCCCGCCTTCTCCTTCCCTCCCACTGTGCTCGTCCGCCCGCTCTCCCCCTTCCCCTCGTCCCCCCACCCCTCCCTGCACCCCTCCCTCGCCCTCCCCGGATCCCACACCACTCAAGGCCTCGCCTCCGCCTCAGGGGTGGGCGTGGGGGGCATGGGGGCGGGGGCGGGCAGCGGAATGGGGGTGGGGGGGGCATCGGATGCAGCGGGGGTGGGAGGGGGAGGGGCGGGTGTGGAGGGTGCGGGCGGCGAGGGCATGGTGGCGGACGGCATGGAGCATCTGCTGCTGCCGCCCGCCCGCTCCCTGCTGGCCCTACGCTTTCCCTGCGACCTGCGCCTTGCTGAGGTGAGCCGTGCGCGGGCCGCAATGGGGGAGGGGGGAATGTTAGAAATAGGCTGTCAACACTTTGTGTACTCTATTTTATATGCTGTAGGTTAATTGTGGGTTGGGTGTAGATGTGTAATCCCAACCCTATCCGGTTGGGATTCCCCCGTATATCCAACAAATCGCAGTGTCCGATGTGCCGTGTGAGGGATGGTCGTATCCTTGTCCCTTCCATTTTCCTCCTTATCCTATCCAGCTCTCTGCCTACAACCCCACTCAGCTCACACCCCAACACCTGTCAACCCACCTTGTCCCCCTCCCCCCTCCTACCCCACCAGGTGCGCCGACTGCTGTGCTCTGCTCGACCGGTGCCCCTGCCGGCCGCCGCTGCCTCCGACTCGACAGACCCCGACGCACTCGCCGCCCACCAGGTGCCCCTCGCCGCCCACCAGGTGCCCCTCGCCGCCCACCAGGTGCCCCTCGCCGCCCACCAGGTGCCCCTCGCCGCCCACCAGGTGCCCCTCGCCGCCCACCAGGTGCCCCTCGCCGCCCACCAGGTGCCCCTCGCCGCCCACCAGGTGCCCCTCGCCGCCCACCAGGTGCCCCTCGCCGCCCACCAGGTGCCCCTGCTGCCCACCAGGTGCCCCTGCTGCCTCTCTTAGCCGCGAAGCTTGTGAATCCCACCCCTTCCCTTGCCTCCTTGCCTTCGCTTCAGCAGTATTGACAGTGTCAAGCTCAAACCGAATCCATGCACTGGCCACTTCCGCCCTGTTTATCCCTGTGTCCCGCCACCATCCATTTTCTCCATCGTTCCCTGCTCATCCCATCATTCTACATGCCTCCTCCCCTCCTTTCCCCCACCCAATCAGGCGCGGCTGTGGCAGGTGGCGCATCGCACGGTGGCGCTACCGCTGGGCCGGGCTGCATTCACATTGGCCACGGCCCCGCCCACCCTCACCCAGGCCAGTTGCCTTGCCCCGAACTGCACCATGCCCCACCCATCCTCCCTATGGCATGGCATGGCATGGCATGGCATGGCATGGATGGCGCAGCATGGCATGGCAGTATGCACACAAATCTTTAGATGGTAAACCATGAAGGGCCAATTATCATGGCTCAGGTATACCAACCACCACCCCACAAATATGTCCCAATCAATCGCTTCTTTCTTTAAAAATAGTATTTGACTGTTTGCCTCTTTGCCTCTGCCTCTCTGCCTGTGTGCCTGTCTGTCTGTGCCCTCTCGCCCCTGCAGGCCCTGTCGGTCCCCAAGCTGGTGCTGGCGGGGCGCTTGATGGCGCAGAACGATGCCACGGTGGGTGGCACAGGGCAGGGCATGCATGGGGTTAGAGGTTACTTTGGGGTGAAAGAAACACCTGGAGATAAAATAGATCCGCTTGCTGTCGTGCCCGCCAGCACACTTCTCTCTATTTGCGAGTTTCCAACTAACCAATTGAGTGGCATGGCTATTTCTATTGTAGCCTGGCAGTGGGCTCTTGGATCCGGCTGCCCTGATGCTTCTGCGGAGTATCACCGTTACCTTCAACAGTTCTATCCCTCTCTCCACCAATGCGTCTCACTCTCCTCTCCAGGTGGGACTGGATGGCTCGCTGGGCAACCTATCAGAGCTCGCCACGTGGCCAGAGTTCCACAACGGGGTGGCGGCCGGCCTCAAGCTCGCCCGTGTGCCAGTGAGTCACCCCACCTCACTCACCTCGCTCGCCCTGCCCTCTCCCTGTCCTGCCCTCTCCCTGCCCTGCCCTCTCCCTGCCCTGTCCTGCCCTCTCCCTGCCCTGCCCTCTCCCTGCCCTGTCCTGCCCTGCCCTGCCCTCTCCCTCTTTCTTCCTCCCCGCACTGCTCATCTGCTCGCATGCTGCCATGCCATGCTGCAGCCACCTCGCATCCCTCTTTCTCAATCCATCTCTCTGCGACTTATCCTCGTTATAAACATTCAGCCCATGTCTCCCTTCTGCTTCCCATCCCACCAGCTGGGCACGGTGGCGCGGGCATGGGTGGTGTACAAACGGCCAGGGGAGGCCTCGAGTGCGCACTCCAGGGGTGCTGCTGCTCTTTTGAGTCGACCCGTCCCTTTTGAGTTTTGAGTCGACTCACTCACTCAGAAGCTCCATCCTTGCCCCTCCCTGTCCCTCCCTCCCCCCCACCAGCCGGGCACAGTCACACGTGCATGGGTGGTGTACAACCGGCCACTGGAGGCTTTTGAGTCGACTCAAAACTCACCGCACCCGTCTCCCCCTCCCCATCCACACCAGCCGGGCACAGTGACGCGGGCATGGGTGGTGTACAACCGGCCAGGGGAGGCCTCGAGTGCGCACGGCGGGTTGCTCATGGCGCTGGGGCTGCGCGGCCACCTGCGTGTGCTCGCCCCCACCGACTTCTTCCGTGACCTCGCCCTCGTGCGTGTCCCCCTCCCCTCTCCCCTCTCCCCTCTCCCCTCTCCCCTCTCCCCTCTCCCCGCGTGTGCTCGCCCCCGCCCCCTCCCCTCCCTGCCCTACCCCCCTTTCTGTTTCATGGTGTCCCTCTCCCCTCCCCTGCTTCTTCTGTGGTTCGCATGATCAGGACATTTTGCCACATCTCCTCCTTCCGCCGTTTCCCAACATCTACACTGCGCTTTCTTTCTTCCCTCTGCCGAACCCTGTTTTTTTTCCTGCCTGATTCAGCGTGTTTTGCATCATCCCTCACAACTCACAGTGCTCCATACTCCCTAGCCCTCTCTCGCCACCCTACCCCCCACACCTTCCCTTTGTACCACTTCCCCACGGCTCCCAGGAGCACGAGGCAACGACGGTGGGTGTGCTGCTGGGCGCTGCTGCGTCGTACCGCGCCACCATGGACGCCAATATCTGCAAGGTGGGGTGGGGTGGTGTGCTGCCATGCCGTGTGCAAGGTGCTTCCTCTCTTCCCACTAGCGTTCTCTCATCATGCCTTGTTATGTCATGCCACCCTGCTGGGTGCTGCTGCTTCATACTGCAAGGTGGAGCATGAAGGGTTGTTTTGAGAATGTTTTTAGAATTCTCAAAAGCATTCGGGATCCTCCTGGGTGCCGCTGCATCATACCGCTCTACCATGGACGCCACCATCATACCGCTCTACCATGGACGCCCACCATCATACCGCTCTACCATGGACGCCCACCATCATACCGCTCTACCATGGACGCCCACCATCTGCAAGGTGACTGCCATGCCATGTGCAAAGTCCATCGTTTCAACACCTTTCTTCCATCGTGCCTTGTCATGTCATGCATTGTGGGCTCGTTTCCCCTCCCGGCTACACATCCTCAACACTCCCCCCACGAATCACAATGCGCCCTTCGAATCAGTTACCTCGTCTGTTCTCCCGATCCCCGTTCTCTCCCCCCCCCATGCACGCCCTCCCCAGATGCTCTATCTGCACATCCCATCGCGCCACCCTCCTTCTTTCCCCGACCTCGAGCTCCCTCCCAGCATCCAGGTACGTCTACCATGGCTTTCCTCTCATCCAAGTGCCGCGCTTCTGCTCCCATCAACTGTTCCCCCCCCCCCCCTGCATGTTTCTATCCCCACCTCAATGCCCAATCTGCTCCATCCACCACTTGCTGCCCTTTGCTCTCTGCACCCCCCTGCACCCCTCTCTGCTCCCTGGCACGGTGCAGACGGCAGCGCTGGTGGGGGTGGGGCTGCTGCACATGGGGTCAGCGCACCGCCTCACCACCGAGATTCTGCTCGTGAGTTTAACGCCCCCCTCACCCTCACGCGCCTGCCTGTTTTTGTACCTGGGAGGCAAATGCACATCCATATGCTCACCCCTACATATAATCCAAGTGAACGGCAGACCTCGAACTAGTCCTGGCCCATACACTGACTGAACTAGCGTGTTGGTGTTTGCTATTATTGACATTTGATTTCTCCCGTACTGCTCCTCTTCTTGTTCGCTTCTTGGAGTTTGGACTATATCCACGCGGCTCGATCCTCCATCCCTTTCTCCTGCTCCCCTGGTCAACCTTTGGCCTTCTGTGTTCTTCCCCCATTCTATCCCTGCTCTCACCCTCTCACCTCTTTCTTGTCTGCGCGCCCTCTTTCTCACCGCTCTGCCAGGACGAGATAGGGCGCAAGCCAGAGGGCGAGGGCAGCATGGAGAGGGAGGGGTACTCTCTGGGAGCTGGCCTCGCACTGGGGCTAGTCACCCTCGGTACGCTCTTGTCATGTCATGGGATGATCTTGGTCAGGATGATCTTGGTCAGGATGAGATCCACATGTTGCTTCAACTCAAGTCATACCAGATAATCAGGCACTTAGCTGGTTCTCTCTTCAATGTCTGTCTCCTCACCTTATCGCCTCTGTGTATCACCTGCACCTTCCACCTGTGCCCCCAACACACATTGCTGCGTGCAGGCACGGCAGGCAGGGCATGGGGGCTGTGGGACCTGAGGATGGAGGACCGTCTGCACCGCTACTTCTCGCCCGCCCTCGACCCCTCCGTATGCGCCTCCCCCCTCCTGCCTCCCTCTCCTTCTGCTTCACATTCCACCCTTCTCCCTTGCTCATTCGTCTCCTCAGTCCCTTCTTGCTCATTCGTCTCCTCAGTCCCTTCTTGCTCATTCGTCTCCTCAGTCCCTTCTTGCTCATTCGTCTCCTCAGTCCCTTCTTGCTCATTCGTCTCCTCAGTCCCTTCTTGCTCATTCGTCTCCTCAGTCCCTTCTTGCTCATTCGTCTCCTCAGTCCCTTCTTGCTCATTCGTCTCCTCAGTCCCTTCTTGCTCATTCGTCTCCTCAGTCCCTTCTTGCTCATTCGTCTCCTCAGTCCCTTCTTGCTCATTCGTCTCCTCAGTCCCTTCTTGCTTATTCGTCTCCTCAGTCCCTTCTTGCTCATCTCATCTCTTCTTCATCGTTCCCTCAGCTTTTCCTCCGAAATCGTTGTCATCCCCATGTCTCCCACTTTCCCTTAACCCCTTCCCACCTTCTCCTTCCCTCGCCACAGCAGCAGGGACAACAGGGAGTAGCGGGGCAGGCGGAGTGGAGTTGGGGGGGAGGGGGAGCAGCAGGAGACAAGCCGGGGGGCATGGGGCAGTGGCCGGGTGCCACTGCCAGCAGCACCGGTCATGTGAGTGTGCCGCACCTATGAGCTCTTTTCATTCAGGGACGTGCTGCTTCGGGGAAATACAAGGGAGCGTGTGGGTGTTAAAATTGAAACTTGAACATCAGTACATTCAGTTGGTGGGTTGGTGCGGATGTGCTGGCCTCACCCAGCTAAGTTGGCTGCCCAGCTCACACCGTTGCTGTGCCAACCTCATGCTGTGGAGGCCAGAGAGAAAGTTGAGCCAAGTGGTTGCTAGGATTGGACCAGCCCCACCATTGGTTCGGTTTACCCCGATCCATTGATTTCGCCCACCATTGATTTCGCCCACTTAATCTTCATCTGCATTGTAATAGCATGATGGATTCTAACGTTATGATGGTGCGCCATGCACTGCCACCATCACGGAATGACACCCACCCGCCCGCCCAGCAGGTGTTGGAGGGCAACACACCCAATGTGGATGTCACAGCACCAGGAGCCATCCTCGCACTCGCCATGATGTACCTTCAGGTCAGCTCCTGGGTGCAGACGAACGGGTGAGGAAGAACGTCATCCGCACCCCTGGGCTCCTGGGTGCGGATGGCATGCTTCATTCACTGTTTCCTTGTAGCCATCCAGCAGTCAGCGTCCCTTCAAAACACCCCCTTGACATCCCTTCCCCTGTACCCCATCCTCCCTGCTGGCCCTCTCTACTGACTCGTACCCTGGCAGTCGAACAACGAGGCGGTGGCAGCACGCCTGGCCCCGCCAGCAACGCACTTCGCTCTCGAGTTTGTGCGCCCCGACTTCATCCTCCTGCGCGTCCTCGCCTGCTCCCTCATCCTCTGGGACAGGTGCGCCCAGGCCTCAAGCGCATGAGGATCCGCTCTGCTACTGCTAGCATGGTTATGCTTTACTTCGTAGCTTCGATGGGATATGCGCTTCGCTAGGCATGAGCAAAGCCGGGGGCCTCGTATAACCTGGGCCGAAAACAAAAAATACATATATATAGATATATATAGATATATATAGATATATATATATACATATATTTAAAAAAAAAAAAAAAAGTTGGGCAGGGTGTGGCCAGCCTGGGCCGGCGTGGCAGACCATTTGTGGCCGAAGCTTCGGCCTTGGTCGTGTGGTCGGGCCAGGTCGGGCTCGCTTGCGGTTGCAGTGATGGGTTTGGCGCCAGACCTTGCTGAATTTGGTTGCAGCACCGCCGCAGTTCCAAGGCACTGACAGGCGTCACTTTGGGTCTTGTGGCAATTCCTTGCCTGTGCAATGCACTGCTCCTCCTTTGCAATGCACTGCTCCTCCTTTGCAATCTCAGCATCCTCCTTTCCTTCAGTTCAGCCCTATTGGTTAAATTCGTCTCTCCCACATCCCTAACTCACATTACCACCCAATACCTCCGCCCATCTTTCGGCCCTCCGCTCTGATCACACGCTTCACCCTCACGCCTCGCCCCCAACCCCTTCCCCCCCCTCCCCATTGCAGCGTGCGCCCGTCAGAGGAGTGGGTATCAGCGCAGGTGCCACACATCATCCATGCCGCCGCTGATGCTGCCGCTGCGCTGCCACCACTGCTGCCAAGCGCCGCCCCCACGCCTCGCCCCCAACCTTTCCCCCCTCCCCCCCTCACCCCCCTCCCACGGCAGCGTGCGCCCGTCAGAGGAGTGGGTGGCAGCACAGGTGCCGCGAATCATCAGTGCCGCTGCTGCCGCCACCAGGGGAGGGGGCGAAGGGGGGAGTGAGGGGGAGGATGAGGAGGGCCAGGACGTGGGGAAGCGCGGAGGGGAGGGCGGAGGGGAGGGGGAGGCGGATGTGGACGAGGAGGCCATGGCACTGGCGCTCTGCAACGTGCTGGCAGGCTGCTGTCTCTCCATCGGTGAGTCTCACCATGGCACTGGCCTGGGTGCCGGGAAGCTGGGCCGACTGAGTAGGGTTTGGGGATAGACTAAGTGTGGAGGGGGGGTTATAGCATGCAGGGCAGGGCATGGTGCAAGCCGGCATGTGTCTATTGACCCTCACACCTTCACTCCACCCACGTTTGCACCTCCTCCGACCGCCACACCTTCCCTCCTATCGCACCTCCATCCTCCCACCCTCTGCTTTTCTCGCTGCCTTCACTCCACCTCCTCATGTGTCTGTCTTCATTCTCTCTTTCCTTCCCCCATCTCTGTCCCCTTCCCTTTCCCCCACACAGGGCTGCGCTATGCAGGTTCAGCCAACGGTGAAGCAGAGAAGCTTCTCCGAAGCTACGCGCTGCTATTCTTCTTCCTCCGAGAGGTGAGAGGCGCTTGGGATATGGGCTGTGGAGGGAGGAGGGCGATGGTAGAGCAGGTGGTGCCAAGAAGAGCATTTTCCATATGTGTGTTTCCAAGAAGCATGCCCATGTGTGGTGCATTCTCTGCTCTTTGTTTCCTTCCCCTTCCTATCCCCCTCGCCCATTCCCCTCACCCCGTCCCGTCCTCACTGCAGCGCCGGCCCGTCACAGCCGTGGGCTGTCCATTCGCGGTGCCGCTGCAGCACTGGCGGGCGCTGCTGGATGCCCGCACCCTGGACACCGCTGTCAACGCTGCCGTGCTCTCCCTCTCCCTCGTACACTCTCTTCCCTACCTACACTCTGCCATCTCAAACCCACTCTCCCTTCTCGCAACACACTCGTGCTCTTTTCCTTTCTCCGTGTTCCACTCCTCTTTCCTTGTATTCCCTTTTCTTCTTTCGTAACTGCCTCCCTCACTTCCCATCCATTTTCTTCCTTCATTTCCCCCCTCTCTCCCCCCCCCACCAGGTCATGGCAGGAACGGGTCATCTGCCATCGCTGCGTCTGCTGCTTTTCTTCCACCGCCGCACTGCTGCTGCCGCCGATGCCGCTGCTGTCAACGCTGCCACCACCTATGGCTCGCACATGGCGGTATGCTGCATGACTGTGTGATGCATGACTGTGTGGTAATGTATCATGGTGATTTCATGTTGGGATGGGTCACGGACGACCCGGCAGCATGAGAGGAGTCCATGAGCTCCATTGCTTATGTTCCTGCACCTCCCTTTCCCTCCTTCCCTTCAGTGCTACTGTTCGTGCACCACCCTCCTGGCATCCTGCCTCCTTCACCTGTATCCCCCCTCCCTTCTCCCAGCTGAGCATGGCAATCGGCTTCCTGGCCCTAAGCGCCTGCCAGGCCACCTTCGCCACGGCGCCTTTTGGGGCGTCTCTATAACTCCCCTCCCCTCCCCTCCCCTCCCCTCCCCTCCCCTCCCCTCCCCTCCCCTCCCCTCCCCTCCCCTCCCCTCCCCTCCCCTCCCCTCCCCTCCCCTCCTATCTCCTCCCCATCCCCCATCCTCCCACCTCCCAGGTGAGCATGGCGATCGGTTTCCTGGCCCTCAGCGCCTGCCAGGCCACCTTCTCCACTTCGCCCCCGGCTGTGGCGGCGCTGCTGCTCGCGCTCTTCCCGCACTTCCCCTCCTCGCCCTCCGACCACCGCTGCCACCTGCAGGTAAGATGCACAGAGAAAGAGTGGGGGTGAAGGGAGAGATAGTGAAACGGTGAAGAAAGAAGCAAGGAGGGGGGAAGGAAGAGCGTGCTTGTGCGGAAGGAAGAGCGTGCTTGTGCGGAAGGAAGAGCGTGCTTGTGCGGAAGGAAGAGCGTGCTTGTGCGGAAGGAAGAGCGTGCTTGTGCGGAAGGAAGAGCGTGCTTGTGCGGAAGGAAGAGCGTGCTTGTGCGGAAGGAAGAGCGTGCTTGTGCGGAAGGAAGAGCGTGCTTGTGCGGAAGGAAGAGCGTGCTTGTGCGGAAGGAAGAGCGTGCTTGTGCGGAAGGAAGAGCGTGCTTGTGCGGAAGGAAGAGCGTGCTTGTGCGGAAGGAAGAGCGTGCTTGTGCGGAAGGAAGAGCGTGCTTGTGCGGAAGGAAGAGCGTGCTTGTGCGGAAGGAAGAGCGTGCTTGTGCGGAAGGAAGAGCGTGCTTGTGCGGAAGGAAGAGCGTGCTTGTGCGGAAGGAAGAGCGTGCTTGTGCGGAAGGAAGAGCGTGCTTGTGCGGAAGGAAGAGCGTGCTTGTGCGGAAGGAAGAGCGTGCTTGTGCGGAAGGAAGAGCGTGCTTGTGCGGAAGGAAGAGCGTGCTTGTGCGGAAGGAAGAGCGTGCTTGTGCGGAAGGAAGAGCGTGCTTGTGCGGAAGGAAGAGCGTGCTTGTGCGGAAGGAAGAGCGTGCTTGTGCGGAAGGAAGAGCGTGCTTGTGCGGAAGGAAGAGCGTGCTTGTGCGGAAGGAAGAGCGTGCTTGTGCGGAAGGAAGAGCGTGCTTGTGCGGAAGGAAGAGCGTGCTTGTGCGGAAGGAAGAGCGTGCTTGTGCGGAAGGAAGAGCGTGCTTGTGCGGAAGGAAGAGCGTGCTTGTGCGGAAGGAAGAGCGTGCTTGTGCGGAAGGAAGAGCGTGCTTGTGCGGAAGGAAGAGCGTGCTTGTGCGGAAGGAAGAGCGTGCTTGTGCGGAAGGAAGAGCGTGCTTGTGCGGAAGGAAGAGCGTGCTTGTGCGGAAGGAAGAGCGTGCTTGTGCGGAAGGAAGAGCGTGCTTGTGCGGAAGGAAGAGCGTGCTTGTGCGGAAGGAAGAGCGTGCTTGTGCGGAAGGAAGAGCGTGCTTGTGCGGAAGGAAGAGCGTGCTTGTGCGGAAGGAAGAGCGTGCTTGTGCGGAAGGAAGAGCGTGCTTGTGCGGAAGGAAGAGCGTGCTTGTGCGGAAGGAAGAGCGTGCTTGTGCGGAAGGAAGAGCGTGCTTGTGCGGAAGGAAGAGCGTGCTTGTGCGGAAGGAAGAGCGTGCTTGTGCGGAAGGAAGAGCGTGCTTGTGCGGAAGGAAGAGCGTGCTTGTGCGGAAGGAAGAGCGTGCTTGTGCGGAAGGAAGAGCGTGCTTGTGCGGAAGGAAGAGCGTGCTTGTGCGGAAGGAAGAGCGTGCTTGTGCGGAAGGAAGAGCGTGCTTGTGCGGAAGGAAGAGCGTGCTTGTGCGGAAGGAAGAGCGTGCTTGTGCGGAAGGAAGAGCGTGCTTGTGCGGAAGGAAGAGCGTGCTTGTGCGGAAGGAAGAGCGTGCTTGTGCGGAAGGAAGAGCGTGCTTGTGCGGAAGGAAGAGCGTGCTTGTGCGGAAGGAAGAGCGTGCTTGTGCGGAAGGAAGAGCGTGCTTGTGCGGAAGGAAGAGCGTGCTTGTGCGGAAGGAAGAGCGTGCTTGTGCGGAAGGAAGAGCGTGCTTGTGCGGAAGGAAGAGCGTGCTTGTGCGGAAGGAAGAGCGTGCTTGTGCGGAAGGAAGAGCGTGCTTGTGCGGAAGGAAGAGCGTGCTTGTGCGGAAGGAAGAGCGTGCTTGTGCGGAAGGAAGAGCGTGCTTGTGCGGAAGGAAGAGCGTGCTTGTGCGGAAGGAAGAGCGTGCTTGTGCGGAAGGAAGAGCGTGCTTGTGCGGAAGGAAGAGCGTGCTTGTGCGGAAGGAAGAGCGTGCTTGTGCGGAAGGAAGAGCGTGCTTGTGCGGAAGGAAGAGCGTGCTTGTGCGGAAGGAAGAGCGTGCTTGTGCGGAAGGAAGAGCGTGCTTGTGCGGAAGGAAGAGCGTGCTTGTGCGGAAGGAAGAGCGTGCTTGTGCGGAAGGAAGAGCGTGCTTGTGCGGAAGGAAGAGCGTGCTTGTGCGGAAGGAAGAGCGTGCTTGTGCGGAAGGAAGAGCGTGCTTGTGCGGAAGGAAGAGCGTGCTTGTGCGGAAGGAAGAGCGTGCTTGTGCGGAAGGAAGAGCGTGCTTGTGCGGAAGGAAGAGCGTGCTTGTGCGGAAGGAAGAGCGTGCTTGTGCGGAAGGAAGAGCGTGCTTGTGCGGAAGGAAGAGCGTGCTTGTGCGGAAGGAAGAGCGTGCTTGTGCGGAAGGAAGAGCGTGCTTGTGCGGAAGGAAGAGCGTGCTTGTGCGGAAGGAAGAGCGTGCTTGTGCGGAAGGAAGAGCGTGCTTGTGCGGAAGGAAGAGCGTGCTTGTGCGGAAGGAAGAGCGTGCTTGTGCGGAAGGAAGAGCGTGCTTGTGCGGAAGGAAGAGCGTGCTTGTGCGGAAGGAAGAGCGTGCTTGTGCGGAAGGAAGAGCGTGCTTGTGCGGAAGGAAGAGCGTGCTTGTGCGGAAGGAAGAGCGTGCTTGTGCGGAAGGAAGAGCGTGCTTGTGCGGAAGGAAGAGCGTGCTTGTGCGGAAGGAAGAGCGTGCTTGTGCGGAAGGAAGAGCGTGCTTGTGCGGAAGGAAGAGCGTGCTTGTGCGGAAGGAAGAGCGTGCTTGTGCGGAAGGAAGAGCGTGCTTGTGCGGAAGGAAGAGCGTGCTTGTGCGGAAGGAAGAGCGTGCTTGTGCGGAAGGAAGAGCGTGCTTGTGCGGAAGGAAGAGCGTGCTTGTGCGGAAGGAAGAGCGTGCTTGTGCGGAAGGAAGAGCGTGCTTGTGCGGAAGGAAGAGCGTGCTTGTGCGGAAGGAAGAGCGTGCTTGTGCGGAAGGAAGAGCGTGCTTGTGCGGAAGGAAGAGCGTGCTTGTGCGGAAGGAAGAGCGTGCTTGTGCGGAAGGAAGAGCGTGCTTGTGCGGAAGGAAGAGCGTGCTTGTGCGGAAGGAAGAGCGTGCTTGTGCGGAAGGAAGAGCGTGCTTGTGCGGAAGGAAGAGCGTGCTTGTGCGGAAGGAAGAGCGTGCTTGTGCGGAAGGAAGAGCGTGCTTGTGCGGAAGGAAGAGCGTGCTTGTGCGGAAGGAAGAGCGTGCTTGTGCGGAAGGAAGAGCGTGCTTGTGCGGAAGGAAGAGCGTGCTTGTGCGGAAGGAAGAGCGTGCTTGTGCGGAAGGAAGAGCGTGCTTGTGCGGAAGGAAGAGCGTGCTTGTGCGGAAGGAAGAGCGTGCTTGTGCGGAAGGAAGAGCGTGCTTGTGCGGAAGGAAGAGCGTGCTTGTGCGGAAGGAAGAGCGTGCTTGTGCGGAAGGAAGAGCGTGCTTGTGCGGAAGGAAGAGCGTGCTTGTGCGGAAGGAAGAGCGTGCTTGTGCGGAAGGAAGAGCGTGCTTGTGCGGAAGGAAGAGCGTGCTTGTGCGGAAGGAAGAGCGTGCTTGTGCGGAAGGAAGAGCGTGCTTGTGCGGAAGGAAGAGCGTGCTTGTGCGGAAGGAAGAGCGTGCTTGTGCGGAAGGAAGAGCGTGCTTGTGCGGAAGGAAGAGCGTGCTTGTGCGGAAGGAAGAGCGTGCTTGTGCGGAAGGAAGAGCGTGCTTGTGCGGAAGGAAGAGCGTGCTTGTGCGGAAGGAAGAGCGTGCTTGTGCGGAAGGAAGAGCGTGCTTGTGCGGAAGGAAGAGCGTGCTTGTGCGGAAGGAAGAGCGTGCTTGTGCGGAAGGAAGAGCGTGCTTGTGCGGAAGGAAGAGCGTGCTTGTGCGGAAGGAAGAGCGTGCTTGTGCGGAAGGAAGAGCGTGCTTGTGCGGAAGGAAGAGCGTGCTTGTGCGGAAGGAAGAGCGTGCTTGTGCGGAAGGAAGAGCGTGCTTGTGCGGAAGGAAGAGCGTGCTTGTGCGGAAGGAAGAGCGTGCTTGTGCGGAAGGAAGAGCGTGCTTGTGCGGAAGGAAGAGCGTGCTTGTGCGGAAGGAAGAGCGTGCTTGTGCGGAAGGAAGAGCGTGCTTGTGCGGAAGGAAGAGCGTGCTTGTGCGGAAGGAAGAGCGTGCTTGTGCGGAAGGAAGAGCGTGCTTGTGCGGAAGGAAGAGCGTGCTTGTGCGGAAGGAAGAGCGTGCTTGTGCGGAAGGAAGAGCGTGCTTGTGCGGAAGGAAGAGCGTGCTTGTGCGGAAGGAAGAGCGTGCTTGTGCGGAAGGAAGAGCGTGCTTGTGCGGAAGGAAGAGCGTGCTTGTGCGGAAGGAAGAGCGTGCTTGTGCGGAAGGAAGAGCGTGCTTGTGCGGAAGGAAGAGCGTGCTTGTGCGGAAGGAAGAGCGTGCTTGTGCGGAAGGAAGAGCGTGCTTGTGCGGAAGGAAGAGCGTGCTTGTGCGGAAGGAAGAGCGTGCTTGTGCGGAAGGAAGAGCGTGCTTGTGCGGAAGGAAGAGCGTGCTTGTGCGGAAGGAAGAGCGTGCTTGTGCGGAAGGAAGAGCGTGCTTGTGCGGAAGGAAGAGCGTGCTTGTGCGGAAGGAAGAGCGTGCTTGTGCGGAAGGAAGAGCGTGCTTGTGCGGAAGGAAGAGCGTGCTTGTGCGGAAGGAAGAGCGTGCTTGTGCGGAAGGAAGAGCGTGCTTGTGCGGAAGGAAGAGCGTGCTTGTGCGGAAGGAAGAGCGTGCTTGTGCGGAAGGAAGAGCGTGCTTGTGCGGAAGGAAGAGCGTGCTTGTGCGGAAGGAAGAGCGTGCTTGTGCGGAAGGAAGAGCGTGCTTGTGCGGAAGGAAGAGCGTGCTTGTGCGGAAGGAAGAGCGTGCTTGTGCGGAAGGAAGAGCGTGCTTGTGCGGAAGGAAGAGCGTGCTTGTGCGGAAGGAAGAGCGTGCTTGTGCGGAAGGAAGAGCGTGCTTGTGCGGAAGGAAGAGCGTGCTTGTGCGGAAGGAAGAGCGTGCTTGTGC